TCTGAATAAAGCCGATGTGACCATAGACGGCAATGCCATAATTAGCCAATCAACCCCAGATAGGTAATCCAGATTGACCACGGAAAAGGGTATTTTGTATGTTAGGTGTTAGGTTGTTTGGGGTTGTCATGGGATACTAACCTTGCTACTAGACTTGTTCCTCCACATCTTGTTTACCAATTATGGTCTTTGTGCTGATTATCGTGATAGGTCCAGTAGCAGATTAAACGTCATTTCTACATCTAACTACTTTCCTGAGCTAACGAGCTTGACATGCACGTTGACCACTTGGGTAGCTAATAGTATAGCTACTAGTACAGTCTGCTACTAGTATCGCTGATCAGGGTATCCGTATTGCTGATCAAGAACCCCATGTGGTAAAGCTGGCCTCATGGCGAACCCTTCATGGGCCCCCCAGCAATTTACACTAACATAGACTGACACTAACATCGCAACCCTTTATGATCTTATCCTTCTAGCGTAACTAACTAGCTGATCTACATCTATCTCTCCGCGAAATCGAAATCATTGATCATCCTGCCATCCTTCCATCCTGCCATCTTAGCTAACATCTAACCCGAAGCAAGGGAGAACGTGTATCCTGGGGATTTCGCATGGTGCTGGCGCAAAGCTTGGATGCTTTACATATTGGCCCCGTTGAAACGTGAAGCGTTCAACAGCTCGGCGGCCGCACTCGTTCATGTTAATGCGGTTCGTTCGCTCGGCCCTATGTCACTCGTTGTTACCGAAGACCCCTGCCCTGCCTAGTTTACATAGTAGGTCATAACATGATCTGCCTTAACATAAGGTCACTTGATGTCAAATCGTGACAGACAAGATGAATGCTCATAGCCTGATGGACGAATAGGAAAATAGATCTTGGATGTTGTCTTCGATCCCAAGGCCGTAGGAACTAGATCTACAGGTGTAGAAATCTCCGGCGACTAATGAGACTCTAAAATACTCCCGACGTCAGACATGAATGAATTCTATGCAATCGAGTTGTCATACTCGAGCCTTACCTTGACCACCCGGCGTCTCTTGAGACTTCTTTCAGCCCCTGGGCCGATACGGAGTATTAATCCAAGAGTTTGGGTCCAATGAAATCTCATAGCCTACTTCTTACTGCAAACAACGAAAATTGCTAGGTAAGTGAAAAAGGAGAACGCTACGGAATATCGCGGCATACATAAAATATTATCAACCTCCCATATCAAGAATTATCTATCGATAGGTATATGCACAAACTCCTAGTGTAGACTCTCCTCATATCCGAATCAAACCCTTGAACCCGGAAATGAGGCTCAATACAGTAACTAGTTAGCAGCATTCTAGAGTGGGGGGCCCTTTAGTTATGTATGTAACGTGGTGATTTGTGGAATGTGGCCTGCCTTATTTGATTCGGTTCGCTTTTTTTCCATTAACACGATACTAGTTACCCGAAGCTATGCGCCACTCATATATAGAAACGATGCATAAGTCAGTTGTCTCAAGGCGAAACTAGAAACTCGCAGTTCAATAATGTTTTAGGAATATGTAGCGAAATACCTATGGTTTGCGTTATCTTTTGTCTCTCTCTTGTCTCTAGCTAGCTCCCTTTTGTGATAGATCTTCGAGTCCGTGCTCTTCACTCATAAGCAATGTCCAATAGGAACATTTAGCACATCCCCCCCTTTCCATAGTAAAATTGGCCGCACATTCTGCTTCACATGATTCAACTTGTCTGTGTGTGCCTTCATATGTTTGTATTAGATCTAGATTTACTCACGTGTAATACTACATATATATACCTACGTGATGGTTCGGTATACGATTTCCATCACCGTAGTGTAAGATTAAGATCGATTAATCATTTCTTCTTCGAGTAGCGCTATTCTAGAAGGTAGGTAGGTAGTAAAGAAATCGTTCAAGAACGACTTATGAATTTTATGTTATATCTGACTTGTGATCATACTACAGTTTGGGTTGGACATATGAAAATGAATAGTCACGCGGCGTCATACATTATGAAGTGGCATACATTATCTTCTTGCTTCTTGCTGCACGTCGTAAGGAGACCCAAAGAGAATGATTAATGCAAGGAACGCCCGCGGAAATATGCATAGCTAAAGCGCAAGAAGCCAAAAGGGGGTATAAAATAATATATACAGTAGAGAAGCTCTTTGTTAACCCTAAACTCGGCTCAGTATTGACAGCAAGACATCTCCCATTGACCAATCATACCCCCGACTACCCCGCTACCAATCCGTATTGTACTATGTAAGGGTTCCTCGGATCCCTTACGGTGGGTGGTGGGTTAGGCGGGGAGCACACGACATCCCAAACCCACAACTTACAAGTGCTGTCCAACGACTGGCAACGACCGAAATCGTGAACTGTCAAATCTATCGGCAGACTTAGGACTTAGCTGTTCTTCGTGCTACTATGTACATAGATATCGTGCCACTTTTCTAGACTTTCCTGCATGTGTTGTCCTTCTTAGTCTACTACGTAGCCGCAGTAGTGGGTTGTCTAGCCCTCCCGACATATCCGTTTGCTTTTACATAAGTTGGAACACTAACCCACCCCTCTGGACTTTGAGTTCTATCTCTTGATCTCTTCTTGCTCTTCAAGTTAACAATTAACTATCTGATACTTTGAGACGGTTCAACGACATACCTACCTGTCGTATCTACCTCTCTCTTCCTACTCAAACCTCTTGACGATCGCGCTTCCGAGCAGCGATCACCACACACCGTCAAGACGTTTTCCAATCTCCTTAACTCGTAAGCTTCCTTCACCGACTCCCAACTGCAAATACCCTAAAAGCTAGAATCGTGTTTTCTGACCTGCCATGTAGCGTTCACCACCCGTACGCCGGAGCCCGCTGCTCTTCGCCCGGAGGCGCAGCGGACTCACCCTTTATTCAGTAAAGGGTTGCCCAGATACCTCAATTTCAAATCTATTAAGGTATACCGCCAGTAACAAAAAAAAAAAGCACCATGGCACCGCACGCCGAAACAGACGCGGGGCCCGCGTACGGGAACGGAAACTCGAACGGTACCAATAACTCGGCTTCGTCGCCATCCAGCAACCTCTTCACGGTCAGCTCTCCTAACGTGACCTACACCGACAATGAGATCCTGTCCAAGTATACCTACCGGACCACAAGCGTCACCCAGGACGCTGCCGGCAAATATGTAGCCACGCCTAAGGAGACGGCCTACGACTTCAAAGTCGACCGCAAGGTCCCCAAGGTCGGTATGATGCTTGTCGGTTGGGGTGGAAACAATGGTACCACCGTAACCGCAGGCATCATCGCCAATCGCCGGGGCCTAGTCTGGGAGACTCGCGAGGGTCCTCGCGCAGCCAATTACTACGGATCCGTCATCATGGGCTCTACCATGAAGCTCGGTACGGATCCCGCCACCAAGCAGGAAGTTAACATCCCTTTCCATGACGTGCTTCCTATGGTCCATCCCAACGATCTCGTCATCGGCGGGTGGGATATCAGCAGCTTGAACCTCGCGGACGCTATGGACCGTGCCGCCGTGCTCGAACCTACTTTGAAGGCGCAGGTCAAGAAGGAGATGGCCCAGATGGTTCCTCTCCCTAGCATCTATTACCCTGACTTCATTGCCGCCAACCAGGAGGACCGAGCCGACAATCTCATCCCCGGGAGCAAGGCCTCTACGGCTCACGTCGAGAAGATCCGCCAGGATATCCGGTAAGTCCGACCTGCACGCCTACGTACGTACATATATAAGACGCTTTTATTAATACGAGAAAACCAAAAAAATAGCGACTTTAAGCAGCAAAACGGCCTCGACAAGGTCATCGTGCAATGGACCGCGAACACAGAGCGCTACGCCGACATCATCCCCGGCATCAACGACACGGCAGACAACCTCCTCCAAGCCATCGAGCAAGGCCACGAAGAGATCTCCCCCTCGACCATATTCGCCGTAGCCTGCATCCTCGAATCGACGCCCTTCATCAACGGGTCGCCGCAGAACACATTCGTCCCTGGCGCCATCGACCTAGCCTCCCGCCACGGCGCCTTCATCGGCGGCGACGACTTCAAGTCCGGCCAGACCAAGATGAAGTCCGCCCTCGTCGACTTCCTCATCAACGCCGGCATCAAGCTGACCTCCATCGCGAGCTACAACCACCTCGGCAACAACGACGGCAAGAACCTGAGCTCCCAGCGCCAGTTCCGGTCCAAGGAGATCTCCAAGAGCAACGTCGTCGACGACATGGTCGAGGCCAACTCCGTCCTGTATAAGAAGGGCGAACACCCCGACCACACCGTTGTGATCAAGTACATGCCTGCCGTTGGCGACAACAAGCGTGCGCTGGACGAGTACTACGCCGAGATTTTCCTGGGCGGACACCAGACTATTTCGTGAGTCTTTCCCTTTCCTTTCCTTTCCTTTCCTTTTCCGATTCTATCACCCAAATGGTCCCCCTCCCTATAACAGACAACCCAGCTAACCCCCCACCCCACCCCAGCATCTTCAACGTCTGCGAAGACTCCCTCCTAGCCTCCCCCTTGATCATCGACCTAGTCATCGTCGCCGAGATGATGACGCGCATCAGCTGGAAGCTATCCTCGCAGCCCGCCTCCGAGTTCAAGGGCTTCCACAGCGTCCTCAGCATCCTGAGCTACATGCTCAAGGCGCCCCTGACGCCGCCCGGGACCCCCGTCGTCAACGCGCTCGCCAAGCAGCGCGGCGCCTTGACCAATATCTTCCGCGCCTGCGTCGGCTTGGAGCCCGAGTCCGATATGACGCTTGAGCATAAGCTGTTTTAATTAAGCAGCTCTGCTTTTACCATAAGCGTGATTTTGAAAATAAAGGGATTCGTCCCGCTGTCTGCTCGCTTTTATTCTTCGGTTGCGGCTCTCTTGGGCCGTAACGTAACCGCTTTGGAAATATTTGTTTGCGTGCGGATATAGCTCAACGCTACCACACACGTATGCATAGGATCTCAACATCCTAGATAACGAGAAAATCTTACTACTATAAATAAACTACGGGTTTATCTATTCACTGAATTGTGTGCCGTCCTGGGACTCGTGGGTCATCTGAATGTGATGTTGTGCGAGGCCATATGCAGCAAGAGTATTGTAAATGTAACAGATCGGGAAGTTTCCCTCTTCCCGAATGGTATCTCAACCCCTAGTTCCTTTAACGCCACCGCTATGCCAATGTAGAAATATAAAAGGTGCAAAATGCAGCGCTATGCAGATGATTGGTTTGGCCCAATTGCCTTATCCCTCGTAGCAGGACGCCCGTTTCTAAAACCACGACTTGCTTTCCCTCAGCCGTTTGTAATTATTGTAATTATTGCCCCTGAGCCGGCTATCATGCGCCGGTAACAGATCGGAACCGCTCGCCATGCTCATGCGGGTGCCAGCGCGACCCTTAGTATTGCCGTCCGCCTCCTCGAAGAAATAGTGGTTGGCGGCAGCCGAGTAGTTCACGCGCCAGGGGACCACCAGTCCCGCCGTGTCCGGGCCGTGGCCGCAGCTCCCTGATAGCGCGGCGCTGGGAGGCGAGTTGACGGCAACGGCGAATAGGTTCTGGGGCTCGGTATAGTCGCTCACGAGCCCTTGTCGGAAGAAGGCGAGATAAAGCAGACATGCTACGTTAATTGCGAAAACTGTTCCTAGCACGGCGTAGAATATGCCTTGCCATTTTTGGACGTGTGAGGATGTATACTGTTGGGTGCGCATAGACGCCTTAAATGTCTCGTAGACGCCCGGGTCCAACTCGACCTTTGGATAATCCCAGCTCATACGGTAAGTCGACCCGAGAGTCGCGGCTACGAGAGTCGATGAGGACAGCACTGCTAGAGCTTCAGCCATGGAGGGTAGGAATGGGTTAAGCGCCGGTTCGCGTAATATGAAGTTCGTCATGATGCGCGCGTTGCTCGCATTGTTGTTCTGCACGCCACCGTTAAGATCCATGGAAAGGCGCCATTGCTCAGCTAGGTTCCTCCAGTCGATAGAGGGTTCAGGAGGATTTGCAAAGTCGTCGTTGCCCGATGCGGCGGAGTACGAGTCGGCGTCCTCAGGATCCTCGCAATGTGCTCGCATGAAGCCGCCGGATATGCCTGAGACGTCGAATTGGGTCGAGCACTTCGGTGTTACCCACGACCGCATCTCGCAAAGCGTGTAATTAGCAATAGCGCTCGACTTAGCCAGTACGTACAAAGACTCCGAGTTGGCAACTGAAGTATTGGTGATCATGTTATAGTCGATCGGGAACTATTAGAGTTGTTAGACTGGGCATCCATTATATAAACTGGGAGCTATCAAAGTAGGGGATAGGAGTTCTAACCAGTTGAAAGACAGGGGGTCGACGGTGATACTTAGGGCCCCATCGGAAAATATCATCAACTGCAGTCCTGTTGAGCCATTCGTTGTCAACCGGGGGCGGGACATCATTGAACCAATCTTCCACACCGGTTTTCTGTCCGGGTATCTCGGTGCCCTCCGTTCGGGCATCAGGCCAAGTAGTGTATACGAGAGGTGCTAACTCGTCGTCGGCCACATTGACACACATGACATTGACCGCAGGTGAAACAACGCTGGCACGGATTGAGTATTCGCCGACGCCAGCTAGATCGTCGGGTTGCAATATGTCATTGCGTGGGTCTGTCGCGGCCAAGTAGACGCCCGCGTGTGGCATCGCGAGCGTGACATTGTTGATGATCCTGTTGTGGGATTTGAAATCAAGCTCGGGGTTTCCGAAATCGGTCTCGATCCAAGATGATACCATTGTTGTATTGTCGAATAGACTATGCCTTCCCACAGGCCTCGAGGCGAGGCTGTCCATCGCCGAAGTCTTATTATTGTGGATAGATTGCCATTCCGTCCTGGATGAGCTGTTAGTTAGAGGTTAATAGTATTGAAAGGGGGGTGTAACATGCATGAAGGTAAGTAGATTATGATAGGACTGGCCCGAGTATTGGACATCGAGGCAAGAGGGCGCCGAATTGTTCGGGTCCATGCTCGGGTCGATGGGGGTCGAACAAGCTTTCTGTACGTAGTAAGGGTTCGCATAGGAAGCCTTCACCAGCCCTTCCAGCTCGCGATTCTCCCACCGACCAAACATGAGCTTAGGACTTACCAGGGCGTCCGACGCCGTAGTATAAAAGAGGGAGCAGAGAGTCGCAATAAGACTCACACTACCTAAGAGGGTCATAGCCGCGTAAGGAACTCCTTCCCAATAAGTAAGTAAAGATCCCGGTTGCTAAACTCATTAGTATTAACAGTCAAAAAGATGTGCACATCGCTGTTTATGTTTACTCACGATGACCCAATTCCGCATCGTCATCTCGGCAAGAGTAACGCCCTTCGCCTTTTTAATAAAAGCTCTTCGAGTTAGGACTTGGCCGAGAAGAGCGACGTAGACCGTGACAAAGGATATTTCAATGGTCTTAGCGACCAAGGTGCAGACGAGGGTGGCTGTCGAGGGTGCCATCTTCCACCCCTCACTAGATGATATCCCTCTTCCATATCGCGGTTGGTAGATAGAGGTTACAAACCACAATCCGCTAAGCAGTGTAGAGTACGAGGACAATAAAGCTAAAACAATGTATGCCCAGCTCCAATGCTTGATGTACACATCCCGCCTTGAGTAACAGTCCAGGGGTGGCCGCTCTGGAAAATTGGTTAGTATCGAATATCGTAGGCAAAGCACGAGAATGAATCCTAAATATACCGTATCGCGCAGCGAGATCGTCAATTTCGATATCGCTGCTATCGTCCGAGCTGTCACAGTTCCCCTCTGGGAGTTCGCGTACATTGTTGACCGAGCCCATTGGATAATTCTCCGTATCGCGGTTCTCCATCTCGCGATGTGGCGGTGCGGCTTGGTGATCTTCTGTAATCTCGTCGTAATTGCCACTACTAATACGAGAGAAAGAATTGCTTTTGAAAAGCGTTGTCGGAAGAGATCGATCCAACATTTCTTTGAATCTCGTGCGACGCAGGGGTCCAGGTTTCTCAAGATTAGCTGCAGCAGAATTACCAGCTGCGATACCAACTTCCGTTCTGGGCTGCATGCCGTGTTTGAATGGCCGAGATGTGCGTTTGTCGTCGGCCGTGTCAGTTCTCGCTGTTGCCAGGGGGTCGAAAGGGGAAGTTGATTGCTGCAACAGAGAATTCGATATATCTTCTTCAGAGATATCTTGTGATCTTGTCGTTATTGTTGTTGGTGTTGTTTCTCTGGACGTCTGGGGAGGCAGTACTGGTGGCTGAGCGGCCGAATGAGCAAATGTAGGCTCACTGCCAGTAATAAATTCCTTCTGATTACGCCAAGGCGAGAATGTCGATGGTAGAAAAATGGGCACCTCATCAGCCAAGTGGGCATCCGGTTCCTGTGCACTCTTCTCCATGGCCGGTGATCTGCATTTAGGTATCATAGCTGAAGTTGCTCTTTTACTGTTAATTACTGTTAAGGTGAGCAACCTTGAACGGAACCGGTCAACTCAATGATATGGAAAAGTCGATAGCAAACATTTCAGCACAAAGCCGCACAGTGCTGAATAACCACAGCAACAGCAAAATGATTAAAGCCCCGTTTTCTTTCGCTTTTCATCCACTCACCGTAGAGGATCAACTGCGGATAGAACCCGGCAAAGGAACGGGATCCTGTGATGGGTGTGGTAGAGACGGACACGGTGCTTATCCGCTACTCTAAAAACACGATAATGTTGAAGATCTTATGTGTCTACCTCCATTGCAGTTATTAGTCTATGACCAAAAAGCTTGGACTTATTCGGATACCAACATGGCATCCGCAGCGCAATATGAGTATTTATGATTATTGATTGCTCAGAAATGAATTCCAACACTTGAAGAAGACAACAAATAGGAATCGATAGAACTCTGAAAGCCTGCTCTTGGAGAGTTGTTAGGTCACATTCTCTCCCCTGGGCCCTTGCTGTCTTCGAAGTAGGGAGATGCTGGAGCTGCCCATCAGCCCATGTAGTAGGCTAGCCGGGATAAGTAAAGAAATCCATTGCATTGGAAGTTTGGACAAGGGCAGATACACTAGCCTTGCTTACACCATAAATAAAGATGAAGCAAGGGATAAACACGTTGGCAGCGTTGGCAGCGCATCGTGGCACTTGCATATAAAAAGCTGCATGGAAGAACATTAAAAGTTTAAACACAGCCAAAGAAAGAACATCAATGGGTGGCACCCATTGCACCCATGTACCATGTATCATGCCCCCTTAAGTAATCATGGCTCTCCTGCCACGATAGTTACATGGTACAATTTTTAGTATGCATGGTCTCTAAAAATAGAACAAAAGTACCTAGGTACCTTCCATCGAGAGCCTCACCTCATGGCTACCCTATGACCTTTCGGATAGCCTATGCGTATCTTTTTATATAAAGATGAATTGCAGAATGTTACTAATAAGAGGTTGATTTGATAGAGTATAAAGGAAGTAAATCTATTCTTGCTAGTTACATATTGCGTGCATCTAGAGTGTACACAATCTATAAATAGATATACTAACAATACATACTCCTAGCGTCGCAATATACACAACCGGATGTTTAAGGGATAGGTAGAAGTTCTCTCGGCGAGCTACGAGGAGAGGAATTATCAGCTTTCACCATTTAATGGAGTCGCAATTGCTCAAGCCATCCGGGACAAGGACCTTCCAGGCACATTGGTAGTGCAGTCTTATCTTTATTATTCATAGTTCTCACAATTCGATATAGTTGTGCTCTCACTACTTGCTCACATCCTCGATCACCCATATTCGTTCGTTCAAGTGGAACTTTCCTCGGTCGAGTATCGCCTTTAGCTATGCGGTCATACCAAACCCTAGACTCACGCGTATAACGCATACTGTTTAGGTGCTCCGAAATCATTCGTAGGTACCTATATATGTTTTTTTCTTCTTTCTTTTTTAAAAAAAAAGAAAAAAAGCATAGCCTAGGCGTCTCAATGTATTGGGTAATCAGCGATGGCCTATATATAGGGGTAAGACTCAAGTAAACAGCCCACATGTTCAAGATCACTAGACTCTTGTTCAATTATGAAGCAACACATCCGAGCAACGCGTTAAACAATACAGAAATATGCCTTAGGTACCTAACCTACCTAAGCTTGCTTTGCCCTAGCTTTTTGGATTGAGAAAACTACAAGTGTTCGGGTTTTACATTTGGCCGGAATTATTTTGCGAAAACTGGGGAACTTGGAAAGAAAAAAAAAGTGAAGAGAAAAGTAGAAATTGGAAAATGACTAAAATATAAGAAAATGGGGCAAAAAGGTGAGTTCGAACCTGGCACTTGACCTGAACAAATTGGCCTGTTTGCCGCCCTGACTCAAATTCGAACTCGGATTTTGCCCTTCATGTCCTTAACCACTAGACCACGGCCATGTTGGCTAGAAAATCTCGGATTGGGGTTTCGTGATAGGAGATGCGCTTAATGCATCTCTTAAACTTAGCATGCGCGTGGTTTCGTTGCCTGGTAACTATCATATCATTACCGCTTGCCAGGTGTCAACCTAGGTACCTAGGCAACGGCGTATTTATGATCAAGGCATTCAAGTGTTAATAATCCCATGACATGTTTAGCACGTACTGACATTTCTGAATACGGTATCGTCCTCTGTGGTAACTCCTCGTGTATTGGAGCTACTATAAAATACGCAAGGTACCTATCCTACCTATCTAGTGATCGAGTAACTGAGCACGACTTATAATTACATGTCTAAGCTCAGCCGACCCGAGAATCCATCTACCCCTTTACAACCTAATCTTGCTACCAAGGATGCCTAGCACGACGGGGTTGCTGTGACTTGAATTAGCAGAGATACTGGCACATATTACACAGTGACATACAGGTTATTCTCCGGACTAATGGAAATTTTCCCGTTTTCAGAGTCGAACTTAACATCGCTCTTAGACGTAGAAGAGCTGCTCGTGCTGGACTTAGAAGGCTGGATATCGATACCCAAAATCCTCATCCCAGACTCGGTCGTCTTGCTAAAATGATCAATGGCCTCCTTAGCAGATTTCTTGGCCTCGCTCTGGAATGTTGCCTCGAGGCCGACGCCGTAGCCGATGAGCATCGCCGTGGGGATGACATAGTCCTCCTCGGTAGGAGTTTCGCTGACGAATTTGAAGTTCTTGCGAATGTTAGGGTGGTCCCAATTCCCACGAGTGATGGGAATGGCAGCCCATTCTTTGACTTTGAGATTGAAGTCGACTTTGCTAAGCTCTTCCTCCAATTGCTCAGCGGAATGCTTGTCTTTCTCTTCAGAGCTGGAGCTTTCATTGAAAACGACCCAGACCTTCTTCTTAGTATCGCTGAGACTCTCCGAGTGGCCGAAGGAAGTCCATGAGAGGTTCTTACTGCTGTTGACAGACACGCTAATGTTGTGATAATTGGTGTTGGTTGACTTCTTCCACTTGGTAAGTAAATCGCCATAGCCACTCAAGGTATAAGCGGGGACGTAGGCGATATCGTCCTTGTTAATTTCTTTGTCGGACGCGATATCAGCAAATATAGTAGGCATATTAAACCCTGGGTGTTTTTCTTCGTCAATGGCCTTAGCGATCGATACTTGAACGTCAATCATGTTCTGAACCTGCTGGCCATAGGTATTTTTAAGGAGGCTGTGGTACGACGACGTGGCATTGGCAACACCAATCCTGTAATCCCCAAGGTCGGAGGCATTGGTTTCCGACCAAGTTTTGTAATCGAGAACTTTCTGCTGGTGCTGTTTCTTTGACTTTTGGAGGTATTTGGAGTAGTCGTCCCAAGCCTTGTGCGTGGCATTCGTGTAATCGGTCTCGGCGGATTCCTTGTCAGTACGAGCCTCGTTGATCTTGGCCTGGATATCTGTAGCGACAGCCATATTAGATGGTGCCTATTATTGAGTTAGTCGATGTTAGGAGCACGTATAATACTTCAGAGGACATACTGGGTTGATACAATTCGAAAGAGTTCGAAGACGCAGGAAATAGCGCTCGCTCGCAGACGATGGAACAAACAGTGCGCCAGCCGTAGGCGGAAGCATTGCACCCGCATTTTTCTCAACATCACGGTTAATGTCCTCCGCCCTGTTGTTCACACCAAGACTAACATAGGTCGGCGGGCAAACGTATAGAACATCATTGGGACCGAGGCCTGTTGGAGCTATCTGTTGCCGAATTCCCTTTGCGTAAGAGAGCCAAATGGCTTTGTCCGAGTCACCGATCTGAACTTGAGCTTCGTCGGAAGACATGATGATCTATAAAGTTGTCTGAAAAGGATTGAAATGGTCAGAAGAGTCGAGAAGTAATAGCGAGATTTTCTAGTGAAAGAGAAAGAGGATGTAGAGGAACTGAACACGAAGGGTAGGCTTTATACATCAAGGCATCTGTTTGAGTTCGAGGACTAGATCTTCCGACGGCTCATTGACCTCACGAGCTGAAGTGTTGCATATTCTAGAACGGGGTCTTTACAATGCCAAACATCATAATCGACTCAAGACTTGGTATGGGGAAGGCCTCAATTTCCAAATCCTATCATGTCTTCTCCTTAGATGGCTAGCTGAATATCCATAGTGTAAGCCAACAGCCACCGCGCACAAAACGCGGCGGGGTTCACGAGGCCTATTTCAGCCGCATAGGTAGGCCTGGCTGAGTATGAGATCTGATTAATCAACTTTCGATAAAGACATCTAGAAAAATACCGTTTAAGATCAATCTAGAACTTTTCGCTAAGTCTAGTGTTCGTCATGGCTGCGCTAACAGAAGCGGATTCAGCCTCACCGTCGTGCCAAAGTCCGCCAACCCAGGAGGCATAACCGCTAGGATTCTAGGTTTGGGCGGAGATCCCGATGAACTTACGCGATATGAGATAGTGCTTATATGTAATTGAAGAGCAAGACTCATACTCAGCAGCGGTGAAAACGCCATCTATCATATTTCATAACGGATGAACTGGTAAAAGATCAGCTCCGGTTGGTCTAGCCCTTTGCGCGTAAGTCACGGCGTTCGTCGGGGACGAAGTTAAAGCTTTTTGACCTACTTCGGTTAGGTTAGGTACCTCAAGTCCAAGAAGCTAGATAAGAGGAACATGAACTCGAGGAGCGTTTTCTTACTAAGACTTAGGCTAGTCAAATCTAGGAGAATGGTATTAGATATCCTCGTCCGGTCGAAGTAAAACATAAATGTAGTAAGTTAATTATATATGGAAAGTCTTCAACCCCAACCCTGAATCAAGCTAGATGTAACTTGATATGTCCCATCTCGTTGAGACTGATAATATACATGGTCTACCTCCCTATATTATATCCTACAAACTATCCTCGTAAGACTCGTCAAGATCCAAGTGATTTCTAAAGCAAATTAACATGCCTACTAACCATCTTATGGAGATATTGGTAAGGCCAAAGGTTGTCTTTAGCCGAGGTTGGATGGATGGAATTGGTTTAACCACCCAACGTGCCCTGTAAGTGAAGAAAAGTCTATATTTACATCCTCCCCGTTGTCTTTTATTAGGCTACACCCCGTGTGGATCGGTTTGTATAATGGAGCTGTCACCGCTTCAATGAGATGGAATCTCGCATGTACGTCTCGATAATTAAAACATCATCGTGCAGATCCGAGTTTCGCAGCCTTTTTGTTCTGATTGTTTCGTTGTCCGTTTCCGGAATTTCCTCATGGTTGTACTGAGGTGGAATACACCACGTTATGTTCGTTCAAGAACTAGGTAATATCCATGGTATCTCCTGGTGATAGGAGTGGTTGCAGTGTCGCGGGGGCCTGGCTACTAGAATCCATCCCTTCCAGCTTCGCCATCGTCGGGAGTACCGTTATTGGCCGGCTTTTGAATAAAACCCTTCTCGTCAGCCTCTTGGATTGCCCGGACAAATATGCTGCCCATCATCTCATAGCCCTGGACTGTGGGGTGAGAGCCGTCGGGGCCGATCTCGTTTACTGAGGGAACCCCTGAGGCGCCCTCACTAGGATGCATCTCGGCTAGGACGACAGGTTTGCCATCTGCTTCAAACTTCTTCATAATGTCCCGATATTGCTTGTTCATGTCCAGGACCTTGGTCTCGAGGTCGCCGCCGCCAACCTTGTTCGTAAGCATCGTGCTCAGGATGACTGTCGATTTATCGGACGCTGTCAGTAAGTAGTCGATCATGTCTTCCATCTGCTGTCCCACTTTGTCGACATCCTTATTCTGTAAAAGATTATTGGTTCCCAGATTTATGACAAACACGTTGGGTAACATCTTGGGTACGGCCTTCTTGGCATAGTCGTGCATCTCCGTAATTTTCTTGCCCCCATACGCCTCGACGTCGTTATCCACAAACTCGCCCAGTCTTACGGAGCCCACCATGTTTACCTCATAACCCAGGTCAACAAGCTGATCACGCATTGGCTTGCGGAACCCCAGATAGCCAGGAGAGGTCTCTCCCTTGACAATGGAGGCGCCGAGAGCCATTATTCTCAGAGGAACATTGCTGGAGCTTGCCGCAGATACTGCACCGGTTGGTGTAGCGGAGTATGACGATGTCGATTTCGATGTAGTAGGCGTGGCTTTAGTAGTTGTAGCTGTAGTGGAAGCTGAAGTCGACGTCGCTTCAAGCGCACTGACCGCTGCCGCCGTCGCAGTGCTTGTGCCTACTAAGATGGTCGATGTTGGTGAAGAGACAGCAGCCAACTGTTCACTGGATTTAGATCCATCGGATGATCCACCAGTATGATGAATCACTCCCGTCGCAGCGAGAACTAAGACAATAAACTTCATGTTAGTATACACAACTCGACTGTATGTTTCATAATAATAATACGGATTTTCAGGAACGTACCTATTACCACCACTGCTGCGACGAGGAGGCAGCTGACAGCCGTGAAAATCGCAATTCCTTTTTTAGATCGTATAAATGCCAACCGTGAGGTCTGCGGCGGGGTGTCTTGAACCTTCTCCATATCGTCCTCGGCCATCTTATTTACCCAATATTTAGACACTCCGGAATATATCGAGGCAAATAGGAGATAGGCTGTTCCAAAGACACGGGACCTGGGAGGTTATTTCAACCTCTCCCTATAATGTGTCTGGACCATGACGGGCGCGGGAAAGAGATTTGCCAAGGCGTTAGCTTGATATTCGCCAGGGTTCTAATTCAATCTAACTTCTTGATTTGACGGTAAGACGTCACATCCTGTGCCAAGCAAGGCGTGTTTGCTATACTTGCCTATCTCACCCGGATACCGGCACGCAACCTATCACGATTGAAGCTTAATAGACGCGAGACGCGGTGGCGGCCAATGATTAATAGCTTTAATGCTGTCAGGAGGTAGATAATAAACATTGCTTTTCGGAGTTTGATCAATCAACCCATTTCGACGTCAACACGAAAATTAACAAGTTCTTCAACAATGCGTGACCAGTATAAGTCATGTGTGTTTACTCTTGAAGATGAATGGCAAACGTTCAAACACTACATATGAGGCGCAGCGTGTATATACCCCTGGTACATTCCCTCGACGACAGCTTTAATTACCTACATATCTGACACCCTTTTCCTACGCTTTATTCTCCGTTTTTCGCTTCCTTTGTAGCAGATAAAAGAATTCAATCCGTAAAATACCGTAGTTCATTGTAATTTTCCCATTTTCTAAACAATGAACCTCATTGAACGTACTGCTATGACAACCCTAAAGGATCAATGGTGGGAGGCGAGAAATCCCCCTGCAAGCTGCAATGCGCTCTCATTTCAAGATAAGACTGTGCTGGTGACAGTGGCCAATTCCGGTCAGCGAGTTCGACGAGTCAATTAATAGCTTGACCTGACTCGAACCTGACCTGACTTGGCCGGGGTAGATTGTAAATATTTTTGATGCTATGTGATTGGTGTATTTCTTGTGGCTGAAGATACGACCAGGTAAGCCCTGTAAGCCAATGTACCTGACCTGACTTGACTTATCGAAGTCGCTGATTCCGGCCTAGGGTATCAAGCAGCGATCAAATATGCAGCTTTAAGAGCATCACCTCTCATCCTAGCTGTCCGATCGAACGAAAGGGTGAAGCAGTGAAAGCGGCTATCCAACGAGAAACAGGATGTTCCGGCGAAATTTTTGTTATGACGTTTGATTTGTCGACTTTCGCGTCCGTTAAAGGATTTGCTAAACGCTTGGACCAACGAGTCCCAAAGCTCGATGTACCTACATAGCTCCTCTTTGTGCTGGTATTGCAAAACCGTCTTATACTATTGGTCCAGAAGGATATGAGATCTGCACCCAAGTTAATGTGTTATCAAATACGCTATTGGCCTTGCTTATTCTCCCAAAGCTGCGTGCGAGAGCTACTGAATCAGATCACGATGCTCTACCACATCTATGCTTTCTCAATAGCTTGGCCTCTCATGTGGTTGAGCCCACAATGCTCCCAACTGGCCAGACTTTGTTAGAGAAGCTCAGTGACCCTTCTAAATTTGATACTACAGCTCAGTATTATCTAATGAAGCTAGCCGCATTCTTTGTCATACAAGGGATTATCGAGCAGCTCAAGGAGCGTGGAGAAGCCGATGGAATAATCATCAACGCCTGCTGTCCCGGCTTGTGTAAAACCAATATGGCGCGGGAGTTTCCACTAGTCTATAAAATTATGATGAACATATTGTACTTTTTCGTCGGACGAACTGCCGAGGCTGGGAGCCACACTCTCGTCAGCGCTACCGGGTTGGGCCCAGAGAGCAGTGGAAAGCTGTGGAGAAATGGCAAGTATACCGAGTAAGTCATCGCAGCCGTGATATTATTTTTGCTAATATCCATTTTAGGCCGGGGGAAGTATTAAAAAGTGAACGTGGCCGCAAACTCTATCGAGAAACCTGGCATGAAATTCTGTCTATTCAACAAAACCATCTTTAAGGGGGGGAGCTGTAGAGTTCCTCTCACTAAAGTTATTTTTATACCCGACCTAATAAAGTTGTTTCTTTCAGAGTTTTATATATCAGGTAGGTATCTATAATGATGTTACTTGTGCTTAAAAAACGGACAAATTCCCCGACCGTTAGGAATATTCTAATATGGATAAAGCATATGAGTGGAATGTTGGCTACATCCGACGGATTATAAACCTAGGTGAGTACATTACTGCGGAATGATGGCGCATAGGATATATAAAACAAGCCCCCCAAGCAGGAAAGCGAAAGCATCGCTTGATATAGGAGACGATCCACGATGGGTAACTAACAGGCTATGCCGCATTGACTGTCCTTTTACCGGAAAAAAAAGAAAAAAAGAAGAAAGAACTGAAAGCACCGAGTGTAATGGATAGTTTCGCGCACTTTGTTATCGACTAATATAGCCGGAAAAGTTAGGGCAAGTATAGTGCGATCCGAACCCACATGCGCTTGTTAACCCCACAACTCATACCGAAGAGACAAAAAGATGCTCTCGATCGGGGAATCGAACCCCGGCCACCTGCGTACTTGTGCGATGACAAGCAGGTATCCTGACCACTAGACCAATCGAGAATTAAACCGAGAATTGAATGAATCCTAGCTTCCCAGACGATGAAAATTTGTGTTCAACTTCGACTTATAACGCGATTGATCCTGTTGACTACTATTTGAGTTTATGTGAATTTGATTTTATTAACAGTGACATTTGAATGGGACTAAAGATAACATAGATAGAATTAGGTGTGCATGGATCATACGATCTGTAGAAATGAAAACTAAGAGTTAGGATGAATGTGGCTCAAGAGATTGGTAGATGAGATGCGTTGCTTAAACTTTGAATCTTGCGGTTGAAAGTATCGTTTACCTATGTTGATGCGGGTGTCTGAGAAGGAACCTTTTGAAACTCGTAACCATCCGGGCCAGATACATTTAACAAATTCTGCTGACTTTTCTTAAAGATAAACCCGGGATGAGCAATCATGAGGCAATAAACAGCAGAGATGACCAACCTATAACGAATGATTAGCATGAAACACAATACCATTACGCCAAAGGGAACTTACACCCCTTCCAAACCTATAAACAAAGGCTCGTCATGAATAAGCTCACCCCTATACCCATCGCGCAATTCAACAAGCCGGTACGTGCATCGAGCTAAGATCAGCATTATAGCCAACGTCATAAAGCTGAAGAAGACCTTCAGTCTAGCCCCAAAACCCAAGCCGGATATGTTTCTTTCTAGGTCTGCTTGGTATTGGGCGGAGCGGAAGTAGCGAATCAAGTAATCCCCAAAGAGGCCACAGAAGATCACCATCATGGCTACTTGCAGACTAAGACCAACAAGCGCCATGTCTACCCCAATCTCACTCGTGCCTGAAGATGCAGTGGATAAACCACCTCCGGCCGCTTGGAATATCAAACAGACGACATCGGATGGAATGAAGACCCAGTAGAAAAGGTCAGGTCTAAAGCGGGAAAGCGAGGGAGAGAAATCTTTGATGCTATGAATAAGTTAGTTAATCAAAGACAGTCCACAGGTTGCAGTATATTTGAAAGAGGGCTGTTGCTTACGCCGCTGCAAGTGTCACATAGATGGCAGCTGAATAATAGACCGGACCACTAGTAACACAAACTATTATACCCCAGTTAACACCCCGACGGAAACAACAGCGCTATAGGTAGGAGAGACGAACTGATTTGAATCATAAAAGCCGCAAAGTTGAACGGGTTGTAATGCATGGAAATCCGAGCTGCGTAGCCCAGAGTAGCATTGACGGCACCGAGAACCATACACCCCATGAAGAACCAGCTCTTCCATCGAATCCCCAGGTAGACATGTATACATGCAGAAAGGAGGTAGAGGCATAGGAAGACGGCATTGGCAGCGAGACTAGGCGCATAGCCATACACGCTTATCTCCACGGGACATATTTCCAGAGTACAGTTGGCACCAGGCCCGAAGACCTTGGTGTATGGCGGCACGCCTGGTGGGAGACCTGTCGACATATTTCTTCAGTCAAATAATAGCTTTATACGAGTATAATGAGGGACGTGATGATATGGCCTGAATGGAATTATCGATATCGTTTGGATGTGAAGGCAGGAAAAGCAAAGATATAAAGAGCGTAGGGGATAGTTCTGAACCGCGGACACACAGAAACTTAAGAGTCGAATGGTATATATAAGTAATTATGAACAGTAGTTAAATACAATCGATATTGACCCTATTACATCTCCCAAGAGTTGAAACATCATTGCCATTTCTTCTTATAACAGGCCGCGTGGCAATCCCGCCGTACATATATTCTAGGAGAGGTAAAACCCATAGTCAACTTGGCGTAGCCCCTTCACGAAGACCACCATTGAGTGACTTCATGGTGATTGATACTAAATTATCACCATCCCCAGATTCTCTTCGCACCCGCTACCATCCGGCCTCTCCATTGGTTCTAGTAGAGTCCAGTCCCGGCGGCGCAGCGCTTGGCGATCAACCGAATGCGATCGAGCCGGGGTTCCCATTGGTTGGACGCTAGATCAAGACCATGTTTTGAAGATGACGGACAAAAATTCGTCCGACGTCGATATCATTGTGAGGCTCTGGCGTATCCTTGTTTAGGTGCGCCAGTGGGTTGTCGTGTTTCTAGAATGCGATGCAGCGTTGCCAAGGGTACCTAATCATTAGGACTATACTAAAACGATGCCTAAGGAATGGTATGGCCTCAAGCATGCTGCCACGTAAGGCATGGCGGATTTTCTCTAGGCAAGTAATTAGATCATGAAAGAGGTGGGTATAAGGTAAGCTATAGGTAAGTATACATTGTTCGAGTCACGTTTTACTAGCAGGTATGCATACGAAATTTTAAATAATGATTACTATGTAAAACATGGTAAAACATGTGGAATAAACTCCTATACAGCGGATTGCATCTAACTTGAACCCACCTTGGATGAAGTATATAATATATAGTAGGTTAAGGAAAGGACCTGTCCGCACTTCCAAGCAACAAGCTCCAGGCTTGATGCCTACAAGTACGCTCACACGCTGTCGTGCTAATGAACTAACGTACGAATCGGCTGGTCCATAACTTCATCGACCCACCGAATCCTGCGATTCCACGCATCTGGTTCAACCGACACACGATTACTCAACATGTTTCCAATATGGACAGCCTCAAGAGCCTCGACCACGTGCTCTCCATTGTCGACGTTGTAGATCCTGGCCGACCGTTTACTCTTTACAGGAGTTCTTGACGAGCTTTTCTCGTACATGCGACGCTCGTGGTTGTCCGTCCAGCTGTAGGAATGTAATAGAGCGTCGTAGCAAAGGCGCTGGACGGCTTCGCAGGTCTCTATCGAAGGACCATCGAAGCCGGCTTCGATAGCAAGTTCCATGGCTTTATCAGCTAGCTCCAGCGCATAGCCACGCTCAGCGCGGGTGGGAGCTCGACCGAGTTGATAAATAATCCGCGACGCCTCAGCGTGGAGGGCATTGATGGTGTTTATGGCGGACATGATGCACTGTGGTGTTTGAGATGTGATGGTTTTGTTTTTGTTTTTGTTTTTTTTCCTGTCTTGTTATACCTGTATGTCCTCTCTAGCTGTAGGGTGAAATTGGTAGCTCTGATGAACATTCTAAATATTAGAAACCTAATAGTGTTTTAATACGACATTACGAGCTACAATGGCCATTGTGAATATTTTGTGCCTTAGGATTTATTTTACATCAGCTGACTGGTTTTACAAGACTCGGTCGTGAAAGAATAATTCAATAGTATTGTGGGTAAATAAAGAGAGAAATTCCAAGTCTGATGCTGTCATTGAAGATTCTTTCAACTTGTCTTTGACGAGTTTCCCATTCATTGTGCATAATTGATAGGCATCTGCGTAATTATTCTTTTCCGAAGTCTTGTGAAATATCAAAAACTGTATTGCTTACCTACCTAGGTAGAGAGTGCATCATCTTGGAGAAAGCTAGCGCGGAGGCCCGTGCCGGAGGACCGCGCCGGAGAATATACTTGCATGCCGATATTCCGGTGGCATAATTCTCGTTTCCAAATTCCTCCCTTTTACTTAGCAATAATTTTACTAGCAGCATTTCAAGTCCTTGTTTCGCATTTTGAGCCGAAGTTACCTAGATACCTAATTTAGATGTAAACCAAAGTACGGTGTTCACCGGTAGGTAGGTAGGTAGTTAATGTCCACCGGAGTTCACGGGGAATTTCATTAGCGCCGGCGTTCAGCTATATCAAAGGGAGGTTACAACAAGTCTTCACCATGAAATTTATTATCGCATCATTCAATATAACGATAACAAGACATTATAAATTACATAGGTCGCAGTATTTTTGCTTTGCATAATTTCAGCATCCAAACTCTTTGAGATTCTTCATTTTTATAATCAATCTAAACGTCGCTCATTGTCCGCTAAAATGTCTGCCGAGACCGTCCCGGAGACCACCTTCCGGTCCTTTACCCCTGCCGAAGCGTCCGACTATGCTCAATTCCGAAAAAGTTACCATCCCACACTGTTCAACACCATCCTTAACCGGCATACATCTACCGGAGGTAAGCTTGACACCCTCCTTGATGTTGGCTGTGGACCAGGCATCGCCGTGCGCTCCCTGGGCACGCGCTTCCAGCACGCTATCGGCTTTGATCCTTCGGAGGGCATGATTACCAGCGCGAAGGAACTGGGCGGGACATCTGGAAGCGGAGAGCCGATCCGTTTCGAAGTTTCTACCGCTGAAGACCTCTCCGAAATTCCGGACGGCAGTATCGACCTCGTTACCGCCGCGACTGCGGCCCATTGGTTTAATATGCCGGCATTTTGGGCAAGGGCGGCGCAAGTTTTGAAGCCGGGTGGAAGCGTGGCGCTGTGGACGCATACCAGTGCGGAGATTGCGGATAGCGTTCCGAATGCCGCAGCGATCCAGGCTGCGGTTAAAGCATTCCAAAAGGAACATCTCGCAAAGCATACGGCCCCCGGGAACCTCCTATCACATGGCTTATACGTTGATCTACCATTGCCATGGGATGCGGAGCCTCCTGTCGCGGATTTCGACAAAGAATCCCTTTCCCGGATAGAATTTGGAACCGGAAATGAAGGCGCCTTACCAGGAGACCAATTTTTCGCGGTGGGGGAGCCGGAGGTGGGCCTCGATGAGCTGGAGGCCTTGATGGGAACGGTGAGCACGGTGAAAAGATGGAGGGAGGAGAACCAGGAGAAGGTTGGGACGGAGGAAGATATCGCGAGGCTATTGAGAAGGAAGGTTGAGCAATTGCTTCACGAGGCCGGAGTAGAAAAGGGGAAGGAGGTTCTTAAAAGAGCGGAACAGGGTGTGCTACTGGTGGTCAAGAAGAAGGCTTAATTTAACTTCACATCTTTAGAGGGCTCCGTTGGCGTATCTGCTATTAAGCTTTCACATTTACTACGTCTATAAGCCGAGTTTGGGGATACATTATTATTTGACAGAGGCCTCACCCCTATTTCTTAGCTAGGTATATTCAACCATACTTAGGCATCGTTCCTTTATAATAAATCGTTTGATACTTCCAAGCTACGACTCGTGTCGTAAAGCTCGACTCTGGGTCTCCAATAAATGCCCCCATCTTCGAGCTTTATGCACTGCACACAACTTACTCCACAATGAGGGGATCAACCAGATCGTAAGCCAAGAATCCTATATGCAGTCCTACCCTAACCCCTGGATCTTTCAGCTCGGACAGCTCTGCCTGCTGAAGAGCTGATTGGTTTATGAAGACCATCACACAGCAGTGGTAGGATCTCTCCTCTAGTTTTGTGGCTGTGTTGCAGGAACACCTGTCGACTAAGCCTCTAATCACGAAAATTAACTTCGGTGAGGGTGGTAAACAGCATGGTCTGGTGCCTGTTCAATATATTCATATTCCACTTAGATTCCTTCCCTTCCCTGTGAGGAGATTGGTTTCCGATCGTTAAAGTGCAATAACTATCATCCAATGCGGCTTCTCCATGTCTATACAAGAAAGCTGGAGGAATTCAATGGAGACTCCATCCCGCCCTATGCTATTCTAGTGGGTATAACTCCAATTCATCTCTGTCAGAAAGCCCCAGATACTCCATTAAGCTTTATATAGGGGTAGTTAACCCAAGTGAGAGACGCGCGTAGGGGCCTGTTACTAACACGAAATGGTATAGTCTCACACGTGGTGCAAATATGAGATAACTTTTCAAGATCTTTTGAAATGGGGTCCCAAGATCTTAGATGGCTACACAAAAATAGATGGATGTTGCCGGCAAGCAGCAAAAGATGGTCTGGATTACGTGTGGATTGATACTTGTTGCATTGACAAGTCAAGCAGCGCTGAGCTTTCCGAAGGTATCAATTCGATGTTCCAGTGGTATAAAAGGTCCAAGGTATGTTATATATACCTAGCCGATGTGTCCGCAGAAGATGATCCATTTGAGATATCCTCCGGGTTTCGGCGAAGTCGCTGGTTTACTAGGGGCTGGACGCTCCAAGAAATACTCGCTCCTATGGAATTAATATTCTTTGACAAAGCCTGGAATCAAATTAAAATCGGCTGGCTCATTCGAGTTGCGAACCCATCCCGAGGCCAAGATTTGAGTACGCTTCCTCGCCAAGGAAAGTACTTCAACCGGTTAGATCTGCTCAGCCTTCTCTCTGAAATTACAAATATCCCGAAGAAGGCCCTTGACACCGGGGATTTGTCGAAGTTCTGCGCTGCGGCTCGGTTGGCATGGGCCGCCAACAGGAAAACAACGCGCATTGAAGACGTGGCCTATAGTCTTTTAGGTCTTCTCGAAGTTAATATGCCTTTGCTTTACGGCGAAGGAGATAAGGCCTTTCTACGCCTCCAAGAAGAAATCATAAAATCACGCAATGATGACAGCTTATTAGCATGGGGATATCGATTAAGACAAAATGAACACCCCAAAATATATTCTGACAACGTCCTTGCCCGGTCACCTTCGGACTTCACTCATTGCCACAGTTTCGAGAGCCTCGATAACGACGAAACGAGCCCTCAGGTGCCATTAACAACTTCTCATTCTGCAATGACCAACATTGGAATACAGACAGCAATCCCTATTCGACCTATTGATCCCAAAATTGGCGTTTTTATGGCCATTCTCAGATGCGCCTTTACCGTAAATGGCCACCGATACCATCTGGTTGTTCCGTTGGTTAACACAAAAGGTGGAGGCAAGAATCACTATAGCCGGGCACCAGGCAGCCCGCCGTTCCATATCCAAAGAGCCAAACTTTTTTCCCTTATAAACAACTCAAGATTTCTATTTTTTCTTACTCGCGTACCATCGTTATGGAGCCTTTTTGTCACGAAGGCGATAACAACTCCTATCTATATACGAGAGAACCCCTTAACTGCACCGCCACGGGTATCTTGGCCAAAGTCAAACAAAAAGGAACATGAGACGATGAGCTTATATATAGACGAGCTAATATCTGCCGGGTATGAGCTCTCGTCTTTCTATCCACCCTGGATAAGCAAAAAGTCAGCCAGTGGCAGCAGTCTTGTTTTGCGATTGGGTTCGTGGAATTCAGCAAGGTTCGTGCTCATATTTTCAAGACCAAAGGAGTTTTCTACGGGATATCTATATTTTGCCGTTTGTATAAGCCAGACGGTCTACACGATGTCAAGGGTTGAGCATGGTTCTGCTTTAGAGTATTTGATGGAACGGAGCCGCAGCTTAGAAGTTAACATGGGCCGTCATGGAATAAAGCAGAAGGGGCTTGAAATAAAAGAAGAAATAACGGACGGGGGCGTTCAGCCCATCCATCATATATCGTTCAAATACATATTTGGTGATATTAGAATTAGTTGTAGTACTGGCGTGGTCAACGCATCGCAGGCTCTCTAAGGTCTGCACTTAAATTAATAAATGATGCGAAACACACATGATAATAATAAGTTCACTCTCAGTGTATAGAGTTTTCCAGAGGCTAGCAATTACTCGGGAAAATATCGCATATGGTAGGTAATAACATATCACATGTCCTTTTGGTATAGTAATGGAATCTTATAGGAAATGTACTGTACATACTCCTATTACACAACGAGAAAAAGAGTTGCAGATATCCAACCAACGAGGGTGTGGGGTGAAACCGATGAGCTTGGCGGCCCTTGGAGAGATACTGTCGAGAAGACAATATCATTGAAGGCTATGTGGAAGGAAAGAAGCCTAGCTTGGGATACCAAGAAGCTCTGGGAACACTAGAGTTTCGATGAGTATCGAGTAGGTACCTAGGTAGAAAGCTCTGCGGAATAACGCCTATGTGTGTCACGTGATACCCATATGGCGCCCCTCGTCAATAGGGGCTGCCGTTGACTCTTGAGTGCCAGGTTTTATATCAGTCAAATAAATCGCCTAGACCTAATCTTTTTAGTAGTAGTCAACTCAAGCTTATACTGGTCTCTTTGATCTATTTTGACGGTTTGTCTCGATGGAACAGCCAGCCTTCCCCTAATGCGGTGGGATAGAGGTGATTTATGCTCATCGGGGAGATGATGACAGGTCCGAAAACGAGACTAATCACAGCCCACGGGCATATGCAATGTAACACACCTACATTAAGAGTCACGTATGATAAACTCCAATCTGACGCGTGAAACTTACAATTATTTACGCGAACATAAGACGCGACTTGCGGGTCACTGTTGTGACAGCGAACTTCAATTCAGAATGAATGCCCTTGCTACCAATCAACTGGGCTCAACTACTCTCCAAAGACAGGGAACTCGTCCTAGAAGAATGAAAGGGAAGCGGAAAATATCCCCTAACAGCACTCAGGGGTGGACGCGTACGTCTATTATTCTCTATTGAGAAGCTGATAGTTATTGAGGTAACTAACTCGAAATGTAGCACCATCAAGCAACTCTCAGAACAGCGATAACCTATCTAATGACTGTCGCCTGGGCCTAGTCTCGATAGTCCAGGCCGTCCACAATGCGAACGTACAATATAAATCTATTGTCGATGAGTATTTACGATGGCGAAATAAGTTACGGACCCGATCTAGCTCCAATCCAAACTCGACAAGATTTAGCAACGATGATCTCCAAACATTGGACGAAGTCATGAAAGCCTACCTCTCATTAGATCAGTCTATTGCTTGGCAACTGCTGGCAAACCTGGGCGACAAGTCTTATATCGATATATGGAAGCGGGCGGCCGACAACATGGCGTATTTGAAGGGGCTATGGAAACACCAGGCACCGAAACATTTGGAAAAAGCAAGGAACCGAGCCGTCGATCTTAAGAATTGCCGAGTCACAGTAGAAAGTAGCTTTAAACTTGTCGAAAAGGAGCTTCGGGATTCGGGGTTCGATCATTACTGCGAAGCTATTCTCGCGAAGAAAGATATGCTCTTGAAGTATGAGGAAGCATATCCCATATTACCAGAGCCTCGCCCAGCGTCAGAGATTCGCCAGGAGTCACCACTTACATTTCAGATGTCGACGCTCATTTTCATCGTCTTCACGGCGGTGGCATTAAGTTTCATACCCATGGGTATGGCCTGGTCCAGATCAACCAATACACCAGGCTCTACCCAAGATCCCGACTTCTATTTGCAAATCCAAAACATGATGTTGCAACTCTTAGGCCTCTCCACAGCCATGCTCGTCGCCCATCAGAGGTTATCCGACAATAAAACCGCTTGGAATTATGCTTGTTACTTTACTGTCGCCGGTGTTATATGCACCATTCTTGCGGTACCGGTGTATGCATTTGTCTCGACTATATGGTCCTCCTTCGCATCCTACCTCGCAACCGTTATGCAGGTTGGGGCGACGCTCCAACTGGCTCTAATCGCGAAAACCCCTAAGCAAAAACAGCTCTGAAGGGGAGGCGTATTTTGCATCTAATGTTATCTATATATCTCGCATGTCTACGATGGCTTCAGAAATTATAGCGGGGCGGGATAGGGGGTTAAGCCTACGGCTTAACAAATGACGGATGACGACCATTAACTATTATAAAGAATATCATATCAGTTAATGTGATGCTACAAACTTTGAAGTATATCTTGTCTCGTACTTCTGAGCGCGAATCGGTAAATTTGGGCTCAAGGATAGGATAACCTTTCCTTGAGAGCTAGGAAATACTTATTACAGCTGGATAATAGGCGCGACGGTAGGTTCCTGCAACGCTACATTGCACTGCGGCAAGCTGATCCCGTATGCTTCGCTAACAAGCTCCGTCGCATTGCTATCCGTCGCATTGCTATCGTCCGTCGGATCCGGCGCAGTATACCACCTCCTATTCTTGAGGTCGCCATCCTGAGATTGATCGAAAAAGTTCTGCGGCGCGAACATGATGCTGCTGACGGCTTCGGAGTACAGCGTTACAGGGATATCTTCGCTGCGCGTGAAGTGGTGCATGCCCAGGTTCAGCCACACAACGAGGTCTGTGCCCTCGACGCTTTCATCGTCTAGGAGCTTGGAAAAGTCCTGCTGCGGCTTCCAGGGCATGTTGAGGTTCTGGATACTGTTGCCCCACGGCTCCGTATCGTGCTGCCGCGTTACGACTAGATGCGATTTGGATAACGCGGTGTTGTGTCGTGAGAACGGCGACTTCAGCGTGCTGAGCCGGATATTCGATTTACCTGGCACGATGCGGTATCCGCGCGGCGAACCCCATGTATTCGTCGCGTTGGCGTGGTTTACTACGTACATGAGCTGCCCATTATTTGCCCAGCTTAGCTCTCGCTCTTTCTTGACATTATAAGTCTCCAGCGCAATCTGTTCGAACTCGCCGAGCTCCGGCCACCACGGCTGCGTCGTGTTGACTACCTTGAGCTCCGTTACTTGAAGGTTATTCTCAGTGCCGAGGATATCAAAGTCGGCCTTCCAGGTTAGCACATGGTCGTGCAGCGATCCTTGTGTAGCCTCTTGGATGCGAGGACCCCACGCGCCCTGGTCGCGGAAGAAAAAGGAGGATTGCAGATACCCCGATGCTCGAACCGTGATCTCCAAACTGCCATCGACATGGAATGCGTAATCGAATAGATAGTCGTAGTTCCCTACGGTGGCGATGGAGCGCAGCGTCAGTAACGATCCTTTTACGACGCCTAGGTTGGAAAAGCCGTAGTCATTAGACACGTCCCCGTCGCGGTGTCGAGATAAGGGGAACCCCGCGTCTGACTCAAAAATACAGATAGAATTAGGATTGATAGTCGATGTATTTCCGTTATGAACGGTCACGTTCCAGAATGTAGAGCCGAACGGACAGTCAAACCCCTCAACCATCGGGAACAAATCGGCGCCTAACTGGAAATACGTATCGTGATACAGGGTCGAAGCGGCCTTTGGCTGGAAACCACCATACTGCGCAGCGGCTTCTTGCATCGATAACTCGTACAACACCCGATCGCCTTTGAAACGAATATCATAGAGCATGATGCCGAGGGTCTGTGAGTGGGCGACGTAGAATGACCATCCCAGGTACTCGACGTACTTCTGCTCCGAGTCTAGCTTATACCGCTTGCCGCCAACTTCGAGATTTTGCGGCGCAAATTTATCTTCTAGCTCACGAGTCCCCATCGCAGCGTTGTACTTAACCAGCGCCCAATCGTAGTCGGACGGCTGGTAAAACGCCTCGTCTAACTCGTCTGCCTCGAATGCTGCGCGAAGCTCTGCGACCGTCCGAAAGAATCGCGTGTTCGTCACCAGTCCCTTGAGTTTATACAGCGAAGCATCTGTACCAGTAGTGTCGAGCATGACGTAGAAATCGAGTGGCCTCAGATAACTAGCAGGCCCAGGAAGCCGAAACATAATAACCTGGAACGCCTGGCTTCCATTGAACGAGGTGGGATTAGTAGGAGCAGCGACCAGAGTCGACCTGGGATCATTATAGCCGTAGAAAACACCACCGAGGAGCGCAGACGTAATATCAGTGAGGTTAGACATCACGGAAACCAATAGGGGTTCCGCGGCCTTACGTCGCTTTTCGTCGAAAAACCTCCCGTTGAAAGGCACGGCACCTCCTGTCCCGCCATTGAACGGATAGTCCAGTTTCTGTATAACGGTCTCACTGGAAACAGGCAAGGGACCGACCATGTACTCTTGTGACACCGGCTCAGGTTTGCCGCCTTCGAATATGATAACCCGAGCCCACGAACTGGGTTTTGGCCCTGATCCGTGTAGGTATGGAAGTACATCGGATTTGTTGACGGGTACGGTATCTATATACCACACGTAGTTGTCGTTCACCTTTGCCGTATCTGGATCGGTTAGATTTAATTTAGAAGCAGGGTCGTGAAGAAGATTCCAGACTGCCACATTATCTTCCGGTGTTATTTGAGCCCAGGCATTGGCCTTTGGAGCGGTCACTCGTTCCGCTGGCTCATATAGTGAACATGTTAAGCATGAAGCCGTCTCGGATGAATTATTACCCAGGACGAATTTGGGTAATAATGTCTGTCTCTGATAGCGTATTGGTGGTGTGCTAGCAGCATTGCTAAATGCAACGAGATATAGTACCGTGTAGACGAGTAGCAATAGCATATTCTCTATGGCTAAAGAACCGCTCAGTAGTTTATTAGGATTGAAGAAGCATTGACCGGCGGTACTCATTGTAACAAGGCATTTATACCCCTCTGTGACCGAGAGCGGCAATTAGAGCTTTTTATAGTCGCACCATGTACCACATGGCACCTATGAATGAAACTTATACAGTTATTGCGGGCAGGTAGAAGATCTTCGATAGCGACATCGCAATATAGCCATAACATTATCGGTACTTGACGGGCCTCGCCGTTGTCTATGGGTACCTCCTAGGTAGATAAGAGCCCAGTTCAAAGCGATTACCCATTCCAGACCCCGACATATCGCGAAAGCGATTTATAGTATATTTCCCCAATTATAAGTTGGTAGCCAAGGGAAAATGGTTGCGTTAGTGTAACGTAGGCCGGCTCCGACTTGGCAAGATACTAGATAACTCCTATCGGTGTCCGGATAAGCATCATATACTCCTTGGTGAGTCGGTTACAAATGAGTAAAACAAAACTTGGAAAGAGTATACCGCACAATAGAAATAGAGAGCACGGGAGCGACTGTTTATAGGGCAATACAGGTTAACTAAGGTGAGAAAACCAGTATGTTTAAGGACTCGAGCTGTCTTATGAAACACGTGCTGCCAAAAGCGATAGGAAGATCGTAAATAGCACTAAATTTTACCTACGAACCGATATATCATGGCAAAAATCATGTCAAAAAGATGAAATTATCTAACCTAAAGTATAAGAAGACAACGGGTTGCTAATTACCTAGCCCGGAATATTGGTTGATGGCCAATAGATAACCACTGGATTGGTTTCGGTTAGGAGGTGGTCAACGACTCTGCTTGTCAATCCGAGGGGGGTAGAAAAGGGGCCGAAGAGAAATTGGAAAACAGACATTTTTATATGTCTAAGTGATGATATAAAGGAAGCTAGCACCACAAAAAACTACCCCTGAGGCGTAGCAAGCTAGCTGTGGATTTCATCTATCAGTGTGAACTCATCTACACGATCAAGTTATTAACAATGCGGACAATATTCAGTCAAGTAAACCAGGGCTAAATAGCGTAAACAGTCTTTATTAAAACAACTTCGAACATATTAACTAAGCTATCTTAAACAATTTTTTTGTTTATTTTTTTTTGTTTTTGTTTTTTTTTGTTTTTTTTAATCTGCTTTTCTAGTCGCACTAGATAACTCCTGCAAAAAGGGAAAAGAATATCAAAAGATTCATATGTCTTTGTAGGTCTCAGGCACTGATAACTACTTTGCCGAAGGCGTTAGGGTATGGATAGCACGAGCTGGAAATAATCCACTGTTCACCGGTACCGGCTGCTGGGGCAGAGGTCGAGGCTGTACCACCGGCTGGCCCGTTGGGGTCGGCCTAGCTGGTCCCCATTGAATAGGGTTCGCCTGGTTCTGGTACTTAACTTGAGGCTGAGCCCAAGTTTGAGCTTGATTTTGAACCTGGATTCGTGGGTCAAAGTGAACTCGGGGTGTAACTGGAGGTCGGACCCGGGGACCTGGACCTGGAAGCGGGGCAGGAGCAGGAGCAGGGGCCGGAACAGGTGCAGGTGCAGGTGCAGGAACAGGTGCGGGGGCGGGGGCGGGTGCAGGCGCCGGGGCAGGAGCAGGCGCCGGGGCAGGAGCTGGAGCTGGTGCCGGTGCCGGTGCAGGTGCAGGTGCAGGTGCTGGTGCCGGTGCAGGTGCCGGAACAGGGGCACGCCAAGGGCCGGGGAAAGGGGATGGAGCCGGTTGTGGAGCCGGTTGTGGAATGCGAGCCGGGTCAGCCCTAGGCCGTGATGTGTAAGGCTCCGGGAAGGTAGGACCCCGTTCAATGCCGGAATAAATATTAAAGTATGTACCGACGACCACGAGTGCCTTTACTGCCTCCCACCAGTTGCTTGTGAAGAAACGATAATCAGCCATGGTGAGCGCCAATGCATCGAATGAAGCGTACATAATGTGACCGCATAGGTCTCCAAACCAGTGGTCTTGACGGCGACGTATTGTAGGATACAATCTCGTACGGATGGTCCAGAGGGTCATCATGAACAGGACCCAGCGAGTTGTAGAGTTAAGAAACCCGTTCCTTTCAAAGTGGACGATGAAATTTGCGGCTTTGACGAGCAACCATGGCGTTAATCCATAGGCGACACCGCCTAGTTGTAAAGCTGTGCCTGGGCCTGAACGAGAGGACATTATGCACTTAGCTTGAATAGGTACTTATGTGGTGTTGGTTTTGAATTGAGAGTAATTTGTTAAGATTTGGTGTTCTGTAGAGATTGCTTTTTGACAGGCTTTTTCTTTGATCTCGAAGGTGATGTTGAATGATGATGTTGAATGATGATGTTGAATGATCTGTTCGAATTATTTCCTAAATGAAGTTATAGATGTCATCATATATAGCCTTCTAATTCCCGGTGTTGTGCAAAAACAGTAGCCCTGTTACTAAACAATAGATATCCAGTGTACACGTATTACGATGTTGCAGAACAGGAAGAGGCAGGCCGAATCGCTTCGTTCCAGGGGGAGCCTGTTGTTCAAGTTTGATAGCATAGTTCGTAGCTATTACCAAGGGGATTGTTCGGTAGAATGAAAGAGCGGACAATAGCATTGTTATACTCAGGGGTACGTTGGAACAGTTTCATAATTGGGCTTAAACAACGTTATTATATTAGGTACCTAAAAAAACATTTGACAATACGATAGTAACTTCTTTCCTCGTTATAAAGTCTTATACTGATGCTCTTCAGCTTCATTAATTTCCTAAGGTATCGTGCTAATAAGCTAAGAAAAAAACGAAAGCAACTATAAAAGAGAAGCTGTTACCCTATTCCTCTCTATAACTTTAATCTCCTACATCACCCACGATCAAAGCACATAAGCAACCATTTATCTCTAAACATACCTACCTACTCAAGTTGTTCGATCTCCAGTCGAACCTCGACATAATAAACCTACTCTCAGACGAATCTTTGCTATAACGAATTTGGACTCGTAATTTTTTATTTTTCAATTCTTTTTCAATTCGTTATGGCGCCGTTTTTCTGTGGCACCTGTCCACCAAGAATCACCGTGGAGACGACCCTCCCTGTCTTAGAGGTACAAGCGTGGGCTACCCCTATCATCACCGATCGCCTTATTATTCGGCCACTTCGTTTAAAAGATTTGGAGGGATTCAATGCCCTTTACAGTCAACCGGAAGTCACAGCATTAGCCTTTGAAGGTGGAGAAGATCCCCAATATAACCTAACCTCTAATTTCAAATTACTAGTACGTCGTCTGAAACCTTGGGAACAAAAAAATATATTCTTTGCAATCCTCAGTCGGACTTCAGATGGTGAAGAAGGGGACTACATTGGGGAACTGGGTATGCAGTTTGGTGATGGTTGGCCTGAAATCTTTTATCTGCTCAGAAAAGAGTATTGGGGCCAAGGATGTGCGACTGAAGCTGTCAAAGGCTTTATGAAATTCTGGTGGGATCTTCCTCGAAGTGCTGCAACTTTCGAAGTACACCCTGATTCTATACATGGACCTGGAGGTAAAGAAGAAGACTCTTCTGGTTCTCCGCCTAAAGTCAAGGAGCGAATGCTTGGTAAGGCAGAAAAGATTAACGGTTCAAGTCAAAAGGTACTCCTAAAATCAGGGTTTGAGCGTATTGAGCGAATAACCACTGGTTTGATTCAGTTTCAATGCATTTACCCTCTGGCTGATGTTGAGCTTGAAGCTTACCGCGAAAAGTATTCGAAAAGAGTATAGAGTATATCTCACCTAAATAGCTAACTAATGTATAATTGATAGCACTATGACGCTTTAAATAAAATTTGACAATACGTTGAAATGAGACTTGGGTAAGTACCTATATGGATGACTTATTAGTGCAACTATTCACCGCGATATAAGGTATGTATCTTTAAATAATCACATAGGACACAGGTACTTTTACATGTCTATGATGATTATATATGCTCCGCTTGTTGATGGGCCCATCCCCCTATCCGCCGGTGAAGGGATAAAGTATAAATAGTCGAGCATAAATTCTTTTATTTGTGTACCTTGTCCTATTCTATTGGTCGCTGTCCACATTTAGTCCCCTTCTTGATACCATTCCTTTCCTTTCTCCCTTGTATTCCTCCCGTACCCTGTACTTCATTTGTACATTTCTCATCAGCTGCTCCCCTTTTATCCATCCCCCTTACCAGCGACTTTTAGAAAAGGCAGGCCAGATAAAGTATAAATAGTCTCTGAAACGTCTTAGATATAAGCAAGGTAAACCAACCTCAAAGGTAAAGGGACCAAGTCACGGATAGAGGTTCTCAACTAGGAGAAGGAGAGGGTAGCATAATTAATAGATAGCCATAACTCCGCAGAGAGCAGTTGCCTGACTTATTCTAATACACCTCTTAGAATTTTAATGGTTAATTGCCTTAGGCGGTATTGTTCCCCTTTTTATGATTTGGTCTAGTTAAGCCAATACAGTTTATTTCGCGCATTATCAATATTTCTTTTATATTTCCAACAGTTTCCCCCGTCCCCCTTTATCAACCTCATCCCCTTACGCTGTTTGATTCTAACTATTTGCCGCCTCTTTCTAAAAATGTAGATATCTACTGTCGTTCAAAAAAAAGAAAAACCCCCGGAAAGAACCACCCCTGTGTATGGGTAATAGAGGGAACACAATTGGGTAAGATAATCGAGTCTTATAAATGACTTATAACGGTCCATAATATGGTGATGTATATTGTCGGGTTGAATAAGGTCCAATTTACGTCTCAGCTCACTATCGAATTGATTGTAGCTACCTATTCTTTGAATCCTACACGTCTACTCTAACGGTCCCCTATCGTGCCACTACGTGTGCTTGGCGCCGACCCGTTCAAACTTTTCTCCGGGCAGAATCCTCGTAACGGCTATTTAATCCACGCCCGTGAATGCTCTGCTTGATAACTAGTTAGCTCTACTTGATAACTAGTTAGCTCCCAGTCTTCAAGGTCTAGGATCCTAAGGGATCGGATTGCTGCATTGCCTATGAGGTCGATTGCCTCATCGCTGACATCAGTCCATCCCTCTGGAACATGCTCAATGCTTCGAATATCGAAGCGATCTCCTACCCAATCATCCAGACCATCAGCAGCACTCTCAGTCCATTGAGTTCGGACTACTATGGCTTCAACTAGACTATAGGGGTACTTAGACTCTGCAAGCTTTGAATCCAAAACGTATTGCTGCTTCGTCAAATTCCGCAAAACTCCAGGCCGCTTAGAGCCTGGATGACTCCGAAGCATAGTCACTAGACGTAGGAGAAGTTGTATGTCGGGGCAATCCCAAGCTTGATCTTTCATTACCACTTCTAGAGAGGGCCAGCGCGGGAGTATACACCTGTTGATACCGAAATATAATGGATTTTCGTTTACCATTTCCGCATCAACCCCGTCTCCAGGATCCATTTCTCTTTCAGGCATATTCCCATTTTCGTAGTCTTTGCAGTTCGGAGGGAACCCCCGAGCATAATCTCCAACAAAGATCAGGCGGTCGCCGGCCCATGGTGCTTCGATAGCTATAATTGCTCCTTTTACGTTTGGCAGAAGGACTCTCCATAAGTAGGAGCACGTTAATGCTAGGCTTAGCACGTACTCAGCATCGGGTAACTCGGCGACAATGTCGTCAAAGATTTCCTGTGGAAGAGTCACTAGACGGCTAGCAAGGCTATCCTTTTGTTAGCTAGACTCTCCTTTATTCCTGCTTATCATCATGCTTGATCATACTTGTGTTCCCGTGATCTGGCAAGCTCTGACTCGGGTGATAGAGCGCCATTCAAGTCGGGCACCGCCAGTGAACCTAATACTTCGGCTCCGTCTAAAGACGTTATAAACTGACATGTTTTGGCGCCTCTCGGAAGTACCGTAGTCCATTTATCAAAGTTAACAAGATGCCAGCATTGACGCATATTGATTAATGATAACCCTTTTCGTACTTCAAACAAAGAACTATCAAAATCGAGTTTGAAAGATGAAATTGTGCTGTGAGAAATATCCTGCTTAGTTTTAGGAGGGGGGTTGTGTTGAGATAAAAAGAGAAGAGCCTGCTGCTGCCTGGACAAGCTCGCCTGAGAAATATACACCGTACATAATGTGATATTGTAACTATAAAAAGCACAAGTCTCACAAGCCACCCAGTGTTTCTTTTATTACTCGCACCCATCCAATTGAGGGTGCTCGATCTGTCATATATCATATCACCACATGCAGCCAGGTAAAATGCCGTGAGAAAACATACCTCATACTGTGGTAGCTAGTATGGGGTATCTCTTTTGACGCAATTCTACCAGGATGCCGTTTGTACTTCAATAACTGGTTCTAATAATATACAAGCACAGGGGCAATGGTACTTTAGATTTGCGCCACCAAAGATAGCCTTTTAGATTCAATGCTTTGATAGAGTAAAAAAACGAATAGTTTCCAAGGTTGCTTTACATTGACTATTTTGACTTCTTTTTTTCCTAGATGACGCTTATACCTTACTATGAAAGTGAAACAAAGTACACCACTCATAGTAAACAGACCAGACCAAACACCGGCAACCAAAATTAGCCTTTACTTGCTAATACAAAGGGTATTGTAAAAATCTAACTAACTTGCTATTCCATATAAAAGCTGTTGGAACGGGCTTAGACCAGCAGCCTGGAAGTGCTAAAGGCGTAATATCTTAGTAGCGCACGTAACAGATGTACAAGAAGACGCATACGAATAGTGCGGGGTGAATGGTGATAAGGGAGCATGCGCCGGCGACAGTGAGGCAGAAGTATACAAACCTTACGAATATGTAAAGTGCATCATTCCAGAACATACAGAATGCGAAGGAGAATGCGAAGGCCAAGAGAGAAAGAGTCCATACAAAGAGGAATTGCGGGATAGGTGAGAAGTCTAGCATGATGATAGGCAATCGTGATATCTGTTCTAGGATGTTCGTGTGTGGCTTACGTACCTGAAGTAATATTCTGAGGTCTGTGCCGAAAGATCTCGAGCCTGATATAGCGCAAGCGTACATTGTTTAACCAAAGACAATGGCCTATTATTATATCTATACGTATTCTTTATCAACCGTATGTTTATCATTAGCTATTGTCTTTAAGACTAAACATCCATTGTTAGTCGAAACGAGTCTTAGTGTTGATTGATCAGACATACTAGATCAGGGTTGCGGAATTAGCCTTTCAACAGATAATGAAAGCCATATCCTTCCAGCACATAGCAACATAGCGTTTCAAACGGCATTTTCGGTATATACACGTGACAAGTCGCTAATTAGTAGAAGAGTATGTAGCATATAAGGTAATAAAACCTCAGCAGAGGAATACGTTGCGAAGCTTACCAAGCTATAGACTATATCTAAGCTAGCCTACTTGGAAGAGGCGCTTTTAGCAAGATCATAGTTGAATTTGTTCTAGGGTAGTCAGATAAAGATTTAGCCAACAGAGTGCTAATGAAGAATAGCGATGGTGTTATTTGGACTTTGACCCTTCGGTTGGATCGTCGGGGTTTGTGGCCGAAATAGCTGCGTAATGCCGGTGATTACGATCTTTATAAGACTATACCCCTGCAACTGTATTGATGAAGTAGTGTTTAAGTTTTAATATGCAAGTAAAGAAGTATGAAATAAGAGCAAGGAGGAAAAACACCACTGTCATAGGGCGAATATTATCGGAAGAATCACGGACAATAATATATTCGAAGCCTGCATCTTGTAGCATCTGCCAGAATACCCCGATGTGTGATATAGCGTTGGTGGTCATGGTAGCATACTTGTTTACTTTCATTGTTGAATCGACGACATCACGGGGTGCGCTATCGAGGGAGTTGTGGTCGTATTCGAACTGCATAAGACGGCCGCCAGGGCGTAGAATGCGGTAAAAGCCGGCTAGGACAGCCTTAGGGTTGGTAGCATATACAAAGATCTCCATAGTGTAAACACCATCGAAGGAATCTGCGGCAAATGCATATAAGTTGTGATAACCCATCTTGCGTACTCTAACTGTGCCTTCTGGTAGGCCCGAGCGCTCGATATTTCGTTGGGCTTTGGCAACGTGATGGTCCACGACATCAATAGCATCGACGCGTAGTCCATGAGTCCTCGCCATGCGCAACGCTACGTGGCCGACACCACAGCCGGCATCGAGCACCTGAGAGCCAGGGGGCAGTGTAATGATTTCGGTCATTTCGTCTTCCATGTTGCGTAGACCTTTAGGTACCTAGATAGATAAGGCGAAAGGCTGATAGGTGTCATGTTCCTAATACCCAAAGTGTCGCGTACCACCTAAATGCAATATAGGTATACCCTAGCCTCGACTCGAGTGAGTAATAATAAGACTCCAACGACGGGTTCGGGTTGATGATAGACACCGCATTGTCGGGGTCGTGACTCCTGGCCGGGGGGAGATGACATGGCGGTACTTTACAACTAGGTACATGGTATAATTAAGACTTGAATCAAATGTAGGTTAGGAGGTAGCGTCGCAAATAACAAACAGTGAGTCAATAAATACGTGCTGACTAACAATTTAGATTTAATTAATGTTGCAGTTCAACTTCTAAGCGCGTCGCGCTTGTCCTACAATACATTATAGGGCTGAAGAGGCAGAGCAGCCGTAGTACCCGGCCTCCCGCCATTACTACGCTAAATTTAGTGTGGTAGCATAAGGTATATAAGGTATGTACTAAGGCGAGGCTTCGACTGTATTCAGACCTCCGAGAACATTACATAACTGGTTTAATAATATACTGGCTTATTCAATATGCCGATGTAGTTCAGTTATCCGAACTACAATGACCTACATGTACGCAGTGAAACAATGGAACTGCCTAAGACAGGAAGAATACAATATAAATTCCGAAAGCCATAGGTGTCCGCCCGGTGGCTGCCTAAGCATATATGAATTACCCTCCTCATATTATTGCCACTCATCTGCTGTATATTTATTTTCTCGTAGCTATTCCCATGATATTATCTTATGTCACCAAGGCATCTAGGACAAGAAACGTGCATTTACTTCGGTGTCTTGTCTCAGATAAGCTTCCTGTCCTATTTCACTTATTAACTACATCTTTATATCTCGGCTCGTAATCCTATAGTTGCTTGCTTTCTTCCCACCCCGCCTTTAGATTCTCATTATCTATATCTACTGCCACCCTTATAATACAAGCCTTACGACCATCAATTTTAAATGTCAGTGGTACGTCGAAAATAATTCGACGATATTGTGAAGGATGTCTCTTGAGAAATAACCCATGCTAATAGTAACGAAGTTAAATATCAGGCTTTAGAATTGCATATCTACCTCCTAGACCTTTCGACATACCAACACAAGGAATACATCGTGTGGACAGAGAGAATATACAAAGCTTCTGGCTATCGGCTTTAGAAACAGCCTTATAAGTCTTTTAGCTTCCTGTAAAGAGTGTATATAGCCTTTGGTTATCTAACATAGGTAGCTGGCCTCATGTTAGGGACAACCTAGTAGGGTCATCAACCAGTCCTACGTAGCCAATATACTGGTTGCTATACCTACTACTTCTCTTAAACTTGAAGTAGCCTTCTACCTTTGAGTAATCAAGGCTGGTCATTGTCTCACATCTTACTACAAGTACCTGGCTCCGTATTCACCGAAAAACAGTGCATACATCGGTGGCAGGGGCAGGTTGCCGTACCTAGGTTTCTAACTACTGGCAAGATCCGGGTGTAGGTCTTACAAGTGTTCCATGAATCGTAGTATCTAGAGGTTTGTGTAGCTTTGAGAAAGGGTAAGCCTTCATCGTTATATACGTGTAGCAAGATAGGGTCGTTGAGCCAGATTGCCGCCTTCCCTCGAATACACCTGTATTCTATGATAGTCTAAACGAAAAGAATTTGGCTCTAAGACAACTTGTCTTACTTAACCCTATGATGTGAACGTCTATGCAGACTGTTTCTAAAGATCAAAGGGGAGTGTTCTGGAATATTGACACCTTAGTCACAGTCTGGGACGGTACGGAAGCTTGCTGGAAACCACCGTCGTCGAGTGTCGAGTTTGGCTTGACACCGTCGAGGGCTGCTAAGAAATGCCTCGAGGCTCTTAGCTTCTTCCTGATTCTAGATGCCTTCCTTTAGCAGCTGCTACATAAACTACAAGGCAACTATCCTAAGACCTGCTGACTCGTGGTCTCTCTCCGCTTTTACCTCTCATTTTACCACACAAGAAACCCTACAAATTTAAATTTTACTTCCCTAGGAAATACTTCACGAAGTGGTACATTCACACAAATTATTCCTAAATCAGCCTCCATTTAATTTGTGTGTGCCACCACATAGGTATCTCATCTCGAAGGCTGCATTGTCTTTTTGATCATTTTTTATTCCTAACACCATCACAAGCAAGGCTCTGCTATTCGACACACCGAACTGCTAAGAGTAACTCGCAATACTTTTGGCCTCGGACATTCTCTTTGGTGGTAAGTTACCCAGACGTACCTATGATGGAAGCGCGATGATGCCTATGATACTCTTTTCTCCGACGCCTCACCCTAGTTACTTATGCACCTGATCTATTAATCTATTACTGAACACTATTTACAGGACCGTATTGATTTGCCTTTTCTTTTTAAAAAGACCTACAGGCTATTAACTACCAGCTTTGCATCACTTGATCCGCCATAGTATGTCCGCGATCGTGATCGTACGTGGGGGCGTAATAATAACTGACATGCACGGATAATAGGTCAGTCATGGCGAATCATCAAGATCATTTGCCCAACAATATCTGGGGTTTCCCGGGCGTTGAATTCCAGGCAACAGATGCCGGCATGGGCTATCATCAAGGCATGGAGCAGGGCCTAGGGCTTCAGAACCCCTTCAACCCGGGGTTTCCAAATTCGGAATTAATCGGACAAGGTCCCAACTTCGACGATGTCGCCGCCGATATTCCTTATGCAATGCCCCACATTGCGACCCAGCAGGAGGGAACTGCTATTCAGAGACCTACCTTTGGATGGGATGACCAAGCAGCCGGAGGTGAGTCATGCTTCAGCCTGATTGATGATGATTCGAAGCTACGCCTCGTGTCGGGCAATGGTCGTTGCCGCCTAAAATAGTATACAAAGCTAACAAGTATAAAACCCTCTAGACTCCCTCAAACCACGATCCGCGATGGGTGAAGCTCATTTGAGTGAGGATAACTGGACATACGGGGTTGAGGTCTCTCCAGCTATTGATTTTCTGCCTGGTAAGTTGATGTTACATACATTTTTCTTTGTTAACTATTCAAGCCCTACACTTCAGCCCCAATCCAATCAGCTCTATAGAAAAACCATACCCCTTGTCACTTTAGCCTGCCAAGCCAAGTGTCTTGCATACCTATGCATAGATGTATAGGTACCTATACATATGTCTTTAACCGAGTCTATACCAGTGAGACTCGGTTAACAAGATATAGGTGGAAGACAAGGATATAGGTGGAAGACAAGGGGGTTACACTGATTTCTCAGCAGGCAAGGCAGGGTTGCTGCTTTCAGCCGTGCGAAGTCGTTTCGGCTTGAAATCTATACTGTGGCCAGCTTCACTGCCAATCGTTCATCATTTCGTCTCCATCGTGAATACCTTACACTGATACATACTTATCGTCGTGTCGGGCTGCTAATGGTATTTCTTCCACATTAGGTTACCACCTCGTCAAGAACCACGTCGCTGCCATCCATAAGCAGCTAACAAACCGATCTATAGACTACGACTACGCCCTCGTCCGATCCGTCGAAGGACCCGGCATCTGTCGACAGTATAGCATCAAACAGAAAGATAGATTCAACAGCCGCGTCCGTCTCGATTTCCTCCAAGTCTTCGCCGCCACCCGACCCTATAATAAACAGGTTCCCAACTACTGTTTCAAAATGACTATCGTAACCAAGGATCGTACTATCCTGCTCTCCTGTCCATATCCGCCTGGCATCGACGGTCGTCAAGATCAGGAAGGGGAGAGCCGCTTCTCTCCCGGCCCCTCCATACATGGTCTAGTGGAATACGGTGCGGGGGAAGAGCAGGTCTTACTCCCAGGTTCTCCCAGCTCTAATGGCTTGGATACGCCTTCTCCTTTTGATCAGCCGCTCTCTCCTCCGGAAAGCCTTTCCACACCGGGACATCATCATCATCCCCGACCACCCCGTTTGGGCCCTGTCGTGAAGCCCAACCGAATCGTAAATAAGAATCGTGAGGGCAAGTTTGTTTGCTCCTTCGCCGGCTGTACCGATGATGTAAAGGTATTCAATCGCAAGTGTGAATGGAGGTAAGATATAACATAATCTTATTTACGTCTATGAAACCAAGCCTTGCTAACTTTCTGTTCAGCAAACATATGGACAAACACGACCGACCGTATAAGTGCTTGGCGTCGGGGTGTGAGAAGCTTGCCGGATTTACGTATTCCGGCGGTCTCTTACGTCACGAGAGGGAGGTTCATAATAAGCATGGCGGTCCGAAAAACCCCCTTCACTGTCCACACGGAAACTGCAAACGCCACGAGGGCAAGGGTTTCTCTCGCATGGAGAATCTTAATGAGCATCTTCGTCGAGTGCATACCCCTAGCGACGTCAATAACGGCCCTACAGTAGTAGAGTTGCCCGAAGATGAGCTAGAGGAGAACCCGGCCCCTCTTCAGCAGGTCGTAGCCCCTGAGAAGATAGGCGAGAAGCGCAAGCCCGAAACAGACCTCCGTGAGGAAGTGAAGCGTCTGCACCAGGAGAATCAGCAACTGAGAAATGAGGTCCGTGCCCAGTCTCGCCACAGCATGGCCATGATGCAGACCATCGACGAGATCAACACCAAGCTTAGGGAGCTTGCCAACTCCAAGTCCCAGCTGCAGCCCCAACCCCAACCCCAACCCCAACTTCAACTCCAGCTCCAGGCTCAGCCTCAACTCGAGCTTCAATCTGAGGCCCAGTCTGAAGCTCAGTTTGAGAATGAACCCGACCTCGATGTGGCCCAACACACTGCCGTACGCTCTCTAGGCTAGGACCCCACGAGAACATATGGTCAGATAGCATATGAAAAAATAGGACGTGATCCGGAAGGATATTATTAGGAAGAAGACGACCAGTCCTATTTGGGCTCGCAGTGAGACCTCCCCTTTATCGTTTGTTTGCAACAAGATACCCCGGTTTATTATTTCCACGGTTTTTCTCATTTCTCTTTGCATTGCCTCGGGCGTTGGCGGCCAACCATCTGGACGGATCAGGGTGTGTTTTTACCTTGGCGGATGTGGATATGAACCGAGATGGACTCGGTCCCGGTATATACGATTGGCACGGACGGGCCTTCGGCGTTAAGGGTTGATACTGCAGCATTTTCAGACCGGCACATTCCCCCTTTTTACGAGTTGTACGAGCGAGCAGGCTTCTCTTCTTGTTCACTCCCCATTCCCGACGAGATCGGCGTTTTTTCCCTTGTCTCTAGCAGACGGAGGCTTTCGATTGCGCGAACGAGGTTGACATATGATAAGAAGTCGGGTAGACGGCTTGCAGCCTAGGCATTGTCGCCCGTCTTCGGGTTCAACATCGTGGATAGGGCTGAGAGATGCGATGAGATGAGGCGCGAAGAATTCTCTGTAATACTATGGTGGTCCCTCTTCTATGGAGGGCGCCCTTGCGGTTAACTAGACCTACGTTAATTATAGTTGTCTCTAATACCTCTCTCGAGACACAAGTTTACTAGATATATCCTCTAGGTTTAGGAAAATACAGGTTTCCTGTCACAGCTGCGGTGTTTTCTTGTGAAGAGATGTGTTGTGCTTTTTGACTGTTATCCGGTTTTGTTCCCATATTAATGCCCAGAGAACCATGAAAGTTTATGCTTTCTATTATCTCTAATGAGTACCTAGACTTGTCCGGGAACACTTTTAACCCGACTAGGTAGTTCTAGACACCGGACAAGTTAGGGGTGTTATAGCTGACTAACAGGTAGCTAGAATAGGGGGCCCTTAGCCTGCCAAGACAGAAACTCTATTGGAATTAAGTATTTAGAAGTACTCAAATTTAAATACAGGTATGTTGATATGATAGTATATAGATAGGTATAGGGTATAGACATTTAGCAATAGCTAGTTGTCGGCTTGTACCTGAATATAATATAATTATCCCTCCTTTGAATAGGGGGTCCCACCACCTCCAATATGTAACCCTAAAGAGAGCATGTAGGTACTTAGAAACAAGTCAACGCATTTACACGTATATATGTCCACTTTGATTATTCCTATCTACGGTGCGCTGAAACATCTGGAAAAGCGAGTTATAAAGGAGTATATAGTATACACGTATATTAATAATGGAGATTGACAACTCTACGTAAATTATTCTTGTGATCACCACCTATCTATCCAATGGCCCCTGAACCAGCCCCAAGCTTATCTCACTGATTAAACCGAATGAGAATGCATATCGTTGGGGCTGGGGCATTATTACTTGATTAACATTGCACGGCATGTATCATGTGATAAAGGCGAGTGTGGCTTGGAAGCTTTATGGCAGATAGCCTGAATTTCAGAGCCTGACGAGGGAAATTTGATTTTCTCTCTTCCTATTACTACCTACACATACCATACCACAATTGCTATAATGGACCCCTTATCTATTGCTGCTGGAGCTGCTGGTTTCATTTCACTAGGTATTACGGCCGCTGGGGGGATCATCCAATATTGCAAATCATATCGATCTCAAGATGCTGACTTTGACCTATTAATACGACACGCCAAAGAGCTAGAATCATTCCTCGGCTCAATCGAAGACCGCAGTAGAGCATCACAACGTCCCAGTAAAGATGTCCATGACTCTTTACAAGGATGTCGTCAAGCTTGCGATGCTTGCCTGAATGATTTCAAGCAACTCAACGCCAAGTATACCAACCAGAAATCCAAACAAAAGCTCATACAAAAATTAAAATACCCCTTCGATAAAGCAAAGCTCGATGATCTTCGGTCTCAACTGCAAGAATTCCACGTTAGACTGCTGGGAATTTTGCAGTTGGTCAATCTGTGGGTATTATACTCATTGTCGATACATTCGTCTCTGACAGGTTTTACGAAGGGATGCCACGCGAGAAATAAGAAGTATCGCTATTTCAAAATCTGCAAAGATAACACTCGCGGTGGAGTCGATGGAAAGAGAGGTCCAATCTTCTCTGTCCGATGTGAAACAAGCAGTAGCTGATATACGTACTGATGTCAACCAGCTGGGGTCTTCCTTTCAGCATGACCTTGGAGAAGCCAAGATGCATATAATGACATCTTTGGACGACAGTCAGAACGTCACATCTGACCGGGCATTATCAATCATCGCAAACCAGGAAAGACAGTCAGTATTGCTCAAACAATATATAGATCAACGACTTGGGGCCCTAGAGAGCAACCAGAGAGAATTCTTTACCCGAACTTTAGCTGCGAGTGCTGGAGTTAATGGTCAAACAGCGCTATTCAGTTCAAATACCGATGATGGCTGTTGGATCCGGAACAGCGTTAGGGAGAAGATGAATCTTAGGATGCCTGTGCGGAACATCTTTGAGTCTCTTTGCACCTGTCCAGTAATACAGCAGCGCCGTTTCACAAAACAGCACCAAGCGCACTGTATATATGCTTTGAGAGACCGTCAGGAGTGGAACTTTACCAAAAGCTTTCGAGCTTTCCGGCGCATGATCACTATATCGTGTAAAGTTCAGTACGCTCGGATGAATTGGGCTCGCGACTGGCATGTCTACCCTAATCTAACAGCTCAAATGACTGTACCGTGGGATTCCCCCGCGTTCGAGGTAATCAGGAATACCAGAAATATTTTGTGTCATATCAAGAGTGTACGTGAGTTGGAAGACTTATTCAAGGACAGCTTGATTAGTCTTAAAGAGATTTTTACAAAAGGCGAAGGATGGCCAACAGATGTTCATGAAGACGGTTTGAACTTGCTACATGTTTGTCAATTCACCCTACAAACCCTTCTTAGAATACCGTTTGATAGGATTAACTAATAAAAAGCTATCTCTTAGGAAGTAGTTGAAGACGTATTCTTGGATTCTGAATATATGGGATCGGACGAAGCGGCGGTTGTCTTAATGCAGTTCGTGGTCGCGTTAAAAGAGATAGGCGTACCTATAGATAATTGTTCAGATCACGGGTGAAGGCTTTTTTGAACCCAAATCAGTTTCGATATGAGGACTAATCATCTTCTAGTACACCCCTTGAATATCTTCTGAAAAGAATGATATATCTCGAGAAGCGTCCTATCAACAATTATACATGTTTAAGGTTCCTAGCTCATAACTTTTCGAAAGCCTTAGAACTTGTGGAAATAGCACCTGCTCCATTACCTAATCTTAAACATTCGACTATCATGACAATAATGCGCTTAGGAGATCCGGGATTTTACGAACGTGAGTTTCTTCAAACTTTCCTCGAGTAGTATAGGCAAAATTAACTGTTTATAGTGCTTGAGTGCAACGACCTGATCTACCTAGTCCTTCATCGTTGCGAACATGATATTCCGCGCCTCCTTATGAGCGATACTTCGCTCATGAATTCCCGGACTGGCTCGGGACAAACGGCACTCCACTTTGCTGTAAACTGGCCTAAGGGCCTTTCTCTTTTGATAAAATATGGAGGGCAATCTATTCAATCTATAATCAATGGTCGCGGTGGATCTCCCGCTTCTATACCACCTTTGAACTATGCACTACATATGAGAGAGGTTGATTCTATAAAGTTGTTACTCGATGCAGGAGCCAGCATTCCTTCGTCCTGCTTCCAATTTTTCGCACAAGATGTCGATACGGACGAACGAGCCAAGCAAGCCATGTACGTTGTGGTCGAATCACTCGTAAGGGAACGAAAAGATCTGTTTCAATTAGCTTTACGGTATCTCCCGCCAGAAAAGATTCAGGAGCTTGAGCTACGGAACGATGAGCTTCTGGACGATAAAGCATTCATTGTCGCGAAAGCACTAAGGCAAGAGCATGTTCCTATGCCTACTGCTTATGACTTCTTACAACCCGGTTCGGTATATCATTGGGGAGGCTTGACCTATCGTATAGCTCAGAAGCTATTTGAAGTTGGCTTTCGCAAAACAGATGCGAAGCTTCACGGATGCACTCCATTAATTACCTTCAAAACATGTTCCTTGTACAAGGGACACCATGCATATGGACTTGAGACGTTGCTAAAACTTGTCGGCTGGTTCAAAGACCACGGGACTAACCTCCACGCCCCGGCTTATATGCCTAGTAATCTTTTTCGGTTTGACGGTACCATGGAAGGTGATGCTGCATCCTATATTAATACACCGCGACCGCCTTTAACTATCCACTATCTAATGGATGTTTTGGGCTATCTAACATGGCCGAAAATACTGAGACTTAGTTCAGAATTCGACAGGCATATCGCCGAACAAACTTATACCGCAAATCAACTCATATTATCCAGCCTGTTTGAAGACAATACTACAGACTCCTGTTGTTGCTTCTGCGCGACAGACGGATGCACTCCAACTTCGAAGTACTTGACTTCCATCATTCGAGAGTACGACTACTTTTGGTACGATGTTAATATTAAATATATGGTCGGTGCGACACGACTGGCTGAGCTAGCGACACCCGATAGCAACAAGTACAAGGTCTCAGTAGAATACATTCGCCTCATAACGTTTGAGGCTCTTGGAATGCATCATACATGCTGTCGATGTAAGAGGCCTGAAGAAAGGGATCCCCTCGTTGGTAATAACCCAGTTCATCTCCTGGATATAGCTGAGATCAAGGAGATACGAGAGGAAGATCGATACCTAGCGAAGCAGCTGGAAGTTTTGATGGATGAGTTTGAGGAGAGATTCCAGGAATTGAATGCGCCATTAAGTGAATTTATTGAGCAGTACTTGGTTGCTAGGCTCGAAGAAATTGGACAAGAGCGGGATGAGATATCAGCAGAGGACTTACGCACTATTAGGGAAACTGGTGTCATTCTTCATGAGCTTTAGAATTTCTTTGACGTCCTATTTCTTGTTATATTATCAAACAAGACGGGTATATACATCAACAGTGTATGGCATAAGGATATCAGTATCATGCAGTACTTAAGTCCAAAGGAGATGCCCAAGTACATAGGTAGGTACCTAACGCAGTTAGAGAACTAAGAGTCTCACACGTATATGCTATCACAAACCTAGGCAGGGTTAGATATATATTTCTTCCAGACGGACTTGAACTACACCCTATGGTCTTGCCCGTAGCCTCCATCGATACTCATCGTCACTTAAGATTTACCAGTTTCCTAAGTCAGCCACCGAAATATCAGATCCCAAGTATTAATACTACAGCATGCAGAGCATACACGAAATACCCCGGTTTCTTTTTATTAAAGTTGAGTAGATTAAACTCTTCACAGCACTTCCCAAGAATAGCCCCCGGTGACTGAGACTTCCATCCGAAGACTCTAATAATAGTCATGATGCTATCTACGTGGTCTATCTGCGTAAAGGTGTTTTCGATAAAGATTATCCGCTCGGAACGTAGGAAAAGTAAGTAGGAAATTCCTCTTTTAAGGGGAAGTATCATTTAAAATAGGCCCCTCCTGTTCGGGGCAGTATGAAACATATGTGTTAGGTATTGTGCGGCTCTTAATGGAGCATAAGCATTACGCCGGCTCTATCAAGGAGATACTGGAAAATATTAACTTGGGTGCTTAAGTTATATAAAATTCAAACCCAGTTCCTCATTAAATCTCATAATTTGTAAATGTAGCAGTGACAAGATCTGACCTTTACTATGCCTAAGTACTCCGTATTCCTTTGAATACCTCTTAACCTAATAAAGCTTCTTGTTATTGAGTCTCAGGTATTCTCCAGCAGTAATATGATCATATCGAGCCGGCTTCTCGGCCGATACGAATTGCGACTTAGGACCTATATCCTCAGTCGGCGGCGGGCGGAAGAACATGACGGCTGACCTTCGTTCCGGCACGCGCGACGTCTCAGTCCCAGGTGGTAAACCGACACGGTGCAAAGCAGCGCGCAGCTCCCCATTTGTCCATCGTTCCAGCGTGTCCGACACTAACAGTACGACATCACCTTCCTGCTCCACGAACACGGGGGCAAATTCACGGCGGCCCTCACTCAATCCGCGCACCTCAAGCTCAAGTCCGGACGCACCAACGCCATCCTGGAAGAGTGCGCTTATAACCCCGAGGTCTGAGTGTGGCCAAATGCGGCGCATGACCACATCCCCAGCGCTACCATCAAGCACGTCCCGCGCAACCTCTGGATAGAAATTCAGGTTCAGCTCAGTCCCAAGGCCACCGGTGTCGGGCGGGTTGAGTGTCCCTGGAGGAACATCAAGGCCCAGCTCGATTGCGGCGAGTAATACGTCGCATGCTTTAATTATCTTCATAAACGCGCCCCGGGTTGTGCCATTGAAACCTGGTAGCAGGACTTCGGCAAGTTGGGGCGTGGGGAACGAATAGTCTCCAGGAGGGCCAATGGCGAATTGCTCACGGGCGTCCAGAAGCTGCGCCTTGGAAGAGCTGGTGGACACTTCGACTTGATGAGGATGAGAGGAGGAGGAGGATGTGTTTAGGTTCGGGGCGTCATGAAGATCGGGCCGCACTATAGCAGTCTTTTCGTAAGCCAACGGCGAGTATCCCCTTGCCGGGGCCTCGCCGCCGGTATGGCGAACACTAAGTTTAGCAGGAAGAGATAGATTGAAAAAAAGACGGTGCTGTATAGGGGGGTCAAAGAGCGTTAGACATCGCCTATAACCTATATAATCTGAAGTAGAAGGTAGTAGGTATTCTAAGAACTATGATGGGCATACCTGATTGAACAGCCTACTGATAGCCTGGGGGGGGACGCCATAGTTCCGCAAACGGGCAAAACCATGCTGTCTTAATTGCGAGACAAGCTCGACAGCAAAGGCACGACGGGCCTGGCTTATGTTTGCGAGCTTCTTCGTCGAGAGAAGAGGAGATGCGTCGAGGGTTGGAGGCCAACGGAACATGTCTACCTATATTAGTGATGAGACTCTGGGGCCACTTAGTGTTGGAATAATTTTGAGAATCCAGGCATTCGTGAGTATCCTTTACGTTAAATTAGGAATGGGTTTGAAAGAGTCTAGAATATAAATACCTATATCTAGATATGTTACACACTCTACGCGCTTACACATATCGAGATACACTTACACACTCTATGCGCTTACGCATATCAAGATACACTTACACATAGCACAGCATAAACAAAGATAACCACGGGATATAGCAAAGATATTGCGGCTTGTAATACACGAGGCACGCACGTCTAGTTCCTTTAGGGAGGCGGCTTATTTTAGTCCCATGTTGTGCGAGGTAAAATTCATCTACTATACTTCACCCCAATATCCTTCCCGCGTTTATGGTCACGTTTACTTCTACTACTGGCTATAGGTTATCTGAATAGTTACCGCGGGCGTATCTATGACTCTAAGGCGTCCAGAAAGGAGCCGTAGATGCAGTCACGCTGAGAGATAATACTATGCCCTCTTCTGCAAATGATCCGAGATAACGTGTAGGCCTCTACGTAACTTATGACAATCAAATTGTAGTATTTCGGGGGAGAGGAGATGTAGTAGAGTAGCTTGATACCATAAACCCCCTTTAACATCAAATGGGACTCCATGATGGATATATTACACTTTAACAAAACTAACTTCCCAATTCCACAAGATGGGATAGATAAGCTGAGCTAATTATCACGATACCGAGAGTATATATAACAAGTTTTCCAGGTTCTCTATTTATTACATGAACTCAACCAACCAGTATAGAAAACATATATTCATTATTAGAATTTTAGATGAAACGCCGGGATACAGGATACGCCCGCTATGTACAGGTTGAATTTCCATAGTCACCTAAGTTTCAGAGCTCCTTGCGAAACAACGAATTTAGTTCCATGCTTCTTGCACTATTTCGTGGTACCCATCATACTTAGCCAGCCTGGTAGGTAGGTAGGTAAGACTTGGCCGCCAGCGATAGTCCCCTTTAATTAACTCGTATTCGATTACCTCATTCTAAAAGCCTGCCGCGGAGTTAATAAAAACTACGACGCCTCTTCGGGTGCCGTGTGATAATATCGCAGAGTCGTGGCATAGTCCCTATCCTATCAGTACTAAGTATTAGGGCATGGCTGACAGTTTCCGTATCTAACCGACTATTATCTCCAACTTTTCGGATACCGACGATTCCGTCAGATGATCCGCACGGATATCATGGAAGATGGTGATGATGATGATGAGAACGTTAACGTCTATTGGTTGCTATAAGCTAGGTAGCTACAGCGGCGCATCTATGGCGCTTTAGACGTCTAGAGTACTCCCTTTAAGGGAACAGAGCTAGAGTTTCGCCTGACATGAGAGATCCTCCACTTCCTGCCTATAGCATTACTCTACCTCGCTAGCGCCGGCGCCAGGTAGCCGACTTTGATCAGGGGAAAAACCGTCAAGCACGCTTTCTTATAAAATGGAAGATGGTGGTAGAGAGAAAGATATCCGGAGGCCGGAGTCGGGAGTATGAAGATAAATCCATATACTTGCGCATCATCTACGAGCACTATTAGTAACGTCTATCTGGGAGTTTCAGGTAATTATAGACTTACGAGATAGGTAGGGGAGTTGACTAAGTAGAGGTTGTCCCAGGTCACCATCCTACCTGGTATTTTAAGATCTATGATCTGTTCATAATCGTTCTGCTTACTGCTTACCCTGTGTTTCAGATCTATATAATACCCGTAGCCTCTCACCCTTAACCTTCTTACTACTATACAACAGACCTAGTCCCAGTCCCGTTCCACACGGAGGACGGCCGCTTAGGGGAATAAACCTATTAGACAACTTAACTTTTCATAAGATTCGGATAGTTTCAGTTCACATAGGAACGTACCTACCATCAAAAGCCTCACAACAACGTTGTCCGCTCAAACAAGCCTTGCGTCATTATAATAGCACATCGTAAACAATACGAAGTAGGAGGATTCAAACCAGGTTTCTACTACTTTCCTATGTATTCAGGTCAAGTGCGTATTATAGTGGCGGCAGTCACTTTGCCATCTAAGTACTGATCTTGCGAGGGATGACATGACTACGCCGTTCGGGGAATCCTACACGTGGATTTACGTAAATATCTGACCCAACGGCTTCTTTAATTCCTCTTAAGTCATTTTCCATAGGTTGCCTATCAGAAGAAATCTGGATTACAGACCAAACCAATCAGAGTTACCAGTTTGGCTATGGAAATATTTGTGTCTTTACCAATCCGATTCAGTCACAATAGGTTATACCTAGAGCAAAGGGGCATTTAATGGAATATATCACAACGTCTTGTAAAAGAATATTTTTTCCTCTTCTTCGAATAACGCCTCTTTAGTACGCATTTATCGTCATAAACACCATCTCGTCGCTATCCATGCAGTTAGTTTCGTTGGTCTAGGACTTCAGGTATACGACCGGCTAAGCCTTAAATATTCAAGCCTTAGCAACATGTGTAACTCCCACGTCAGCTTATTGAACCAAATCACTTAATTTTGAGTCTGCAAGTAAATTGGTTGCTACACTTAAAGAGAATTATTAACTTATAATTCTATAACATCTAGGCTAACTTGGAGGAATTGGCTTGAGTTGGCCCTCTAATAACATACCCCGTCTACCTACTTAGGATCAAGCATAGGGGAGCTTCTATCACACTGTTGCTTGTACATCATAAAAATGTTTCAGAATATTAGCTCAGAATTACACTAAAAGGGGATGTAAGAAAAGTGATGTTAGGTATAGTTGACATTAAAATGATGACATGCCAGAAGATCTTAACTGGATTTATCTAGCGTGGACTTACCATCTTTTTAAGGATCCGAGCACGACGTGGAAACACAACGCATTAAAGTACAAGACTATGACTAGACCATTAAAATAGATAGAAGTTCTTGGCCATAAGAGGTAAGTATCTCAATAACCGAAAGATCTTATATTAAAGTGTGCGTATTAAAACGATAGTTACCGGAACTGTTCTAATTTGCCAAACCATTGTATTAATTAAGAGTAAGTATTATACGGTGTGACACCAATCCTAAATCTGAACCCCCTTTTCAGCTCCCTCAGAGCTACGTATTAAGCTACCTAGTTCTCATGAGCAACCACAAACCAACCCTATGTAAAATATTACCCGATGTTCACATACACATCTGAGAACGCCGAGTTGCACCGTCGTCACGGGTAAGTAATGTGTGCTGGGTTAGGACTACCGGGAGGATGCGATGACTGCGCTTTGGTGAGCAGATCGAAAAAGCAAAATTCCCCGAATAGTTGTCACACAAGTTACGATGTCCGTTATAAATATCGAGGTTGAAGTGAAGCCAAATTCTATTCAACTTAACGTAGTGCAGCCCTACTTACTTATTTTTATCTCTTCCACATACCTAACAGGTAGTTTCTAAACAGTTTTCTTGACCAACATGTCTTCCTTAAATTCTTTGTCCGAACTTACACGGCAACTTCTCAGCAGAGCTGAGAAGGTTGAAAGTCTTACCCCTGGATCAAAAGGTCAAGTTCTGTTCCAGTTAGAAGGCCAATCTGCGGAGCTCAATAAAGCCCGCCGGGAACTGCTCGAAATTACGCAGGAAATCCAAGTACGAGCTAGAGGCCCCGCGGATCTCCTTGAGCAGTATCAAATTCAGGTACGGACTAAGGATGATTAGTATATCATTAACTAGGCTCGATGATATAAAGTTTCGTTGATGTATTTGCTAATGATGCCCACTCAATATAGTACAATGCCTTCTCCTGTCTCCGCTGGTTACTCCACTTCGAGATCTTTACTCATGTTCCAACGGATTACAAGCCTATGTCATACACATCCCTCGCGTCACTTGCCTCCGTGCCTCTCTCCCGTCTGCAATCTGTAGCACGGATGGCCATGACAGCGGGCCTATTCACCGAGCCGGATCCCGCTCACATAGCGCATAACCCGCTCTCCGTGCGCTTCGCGACGGATGAGCTCCTCCGAGATTGGGCTATTTTCGTAAGCAAATACGGAGAACCCGCGACCCAAGCTATGACGGAGGCAACCGAGAAGTGGGATGACTCGAAAGCTTTGAACGAGACGGCGTGGAATGTATTCGGAGGCACAACAAAACCGTTCTTCGAATATCTTAAGGACGTCCCGGATATGGTGGACTTGTTTAGCAGATATATGCAAAGTCAGGGGTTGAGCGAAGGGATGCGACTGGAGTATGTTCTTGACGGGTTTGACTGGGCTAAATTAGATGCTAACGCGCACATCATCGATGTAAGTCCCTTTATGATACGAAATTGGGCATCTCTAATGGTAACTCTACTCATAGGTTGGCGGATCAAACAGATTCGTATCCGTGGCTCTCGCAAAGTCTTATTCCGGATTCAAATTCACAGTCCAGGACCCCCCCCCAGGCCGTCGAAGCGCTGTCTCCAACATTGTCAGAACTGCCTGATACGATTACCTCGCGCATCCAGTTTAAAGCACACAGTTTCTTCGACCCTCAGCCTTCGCATCAGCCCGGCCCATCTTCGCCCGACGTGTACCTCTTACGAAAGATTTTACACGACTGGCCTGCAGCCCGCGCTCGAGAGATCCTCTGTCAACTAGCGACAGCTTTGCGAGACGGAAAGAAGTCCAGCGCACGGATCGTGATTATGGATATTATCCTGCCTCTCCCCGGGACGATCGAGCGGACTCAAGAGGCTATGCTGCGCGTGCGAGATCTTTCCATGGCGCAGGCTTTCAACAGTCAGGAGAGAAAGCTAAGCGACTGGGAGGAACTATTCGAAAGCGCGGAACCGAAACTACAGTTGATGAGCTGGAAGCAGCCTCGTGGGAGTGCAATGGCTGTGATGGAAGTGGGTTTGGGTGAGTACTAAATACCCCTAAAGCCTTGTAGTAGGTAGTTAGGCTATATGCTCGGGAGGAAATGAAACTATTGTGCAATCGGATCCTATTATTCGCGAGGCTTCTACCTGCCTTCTCGGGCACTCGGGCACGTTTGGAAATAAAAAGGAATCACTTGCTGACCGAGAAGAGTCCAGGACCCTTGCAGAGAATCGTTCTAGTACGTATTATATTTAGACCTGCGGCGTATTAAAATTTATACCTATGTGCCATTCTCATCCACCGAGTACTAGTTATCTGAGATTGGTGTTTGTGTGTAAAAGTAGAACTCGGTGATACCGTTGGTGATAGCCGTCAGTTGACCGATAGTTCCGTGTGTCCCGGTCACCGGCATTCAAAAAGGTCTTAGATGGGCAGTGATAGTGATACAGTGACACAGTGACAGCCGAAATGTTATGTAAGATGGTTGGTTCAGTTGGGCACGTTCCTTTTTATTGGCGGATTTAGTAGTAAAACATACAGAGGTAATTGAAGAATGAGCCTTGCGCCAAGACGGCTAGGTCCGCATACACAGGTACTAGCTATTGCGCCTCTCAACCTTAAATGAGGCCAAATCTTGTCTTGGCAATTATTGTTAGTTAGTAGCGTACCTAGGTAAGTATATTTATTATAGGTACTTGACAGCCTGATCTTGGGGAAAAACTTGACTAAAACAAAACATCACCAATAGCCCGTGACGATCCTCACTCAAACATATTAGAACTCGTCATCTCAGCTCAATAGTACTATATACTATATAAGTAAACATGCAATTTCGGCTTGGTATGGCGCAAAGCAAAATGTGACAAGCCGTCCTCCCGTCACATCTCAAAATACGTACGTATCGACAAGATTCTTCGTTCTCGTGTTGGTGTTGATGAAGTTTTTCACACGTCAAACGGTCTCTTTTCCTGCCCAGGCCCCAAAGCGTCTCTCACGTCGTAGTATTCAAAGTGGGATACTATACTAACGTAACCTTATGATGCATGGATCGGCGTAGCGGGCAAGCGTAAATGCATAGGTAGGTAGCTGGAGTTAATTTGGGGCGATCGATGCGGACTTTGGACGCGGGCTGAAGCATGCGCTTAACCATGGAATATATTATCGTTACGGAAAAACGCGAAATGTCGTGATCCGCCAAGTGACCTAATCTTGCCTGTGCTACCATTTATAGGAATATACGGTAGGGATCATCTGCCAGGGGGCACGTTCAACTTGTTCGGGAACTTGCTTTTGTATACCCGTCCGTACGTATACGAAAAGTTCTACCAGTTACCAGTTAGCTATAAAACTGGACATTCCCATCCCCTCCCCCTCGCTTTGGTAGAGAGAAGAGGTTATTCCTATTAGTTTCTTGCGGTTCGGTAGGCCAGGTTTTAAGGAGTTCAAGGCGTTAACTATTAGCGATTACCTATCAAGCAACCATGAAGAATATACTTGCCTTAAGCACTCTGCCGCTGCTCTCACTGGCCGGAGCTACGTCTCTTAAGCCTCGCGACGGCTCGGTTTACGATGCTATTATCATAGGAGGTGGTCCGTCAGGCCTCAGCGCTTTGAGTGGTCTGGCTCGAGTACGCAGGAATGTTCTGTTGATCGACTCGGGAGAGTATCGCAACGGACCGACGAGACACATGCACGACGTCATCGGCTTCGACGGTGAGTTACGGTCGCGTAGCCAGTGATACATACATACCATATTAGTTCCTCGTAGGACTGACATCGCAACAGGAGTCACACCAGCGTACTACCGCTGGGCAGCCCGGCAGCAGATCGCCCACTACGACACCGTATCGGCTATCAACGGGACAGTCACCAACATCGAGCCGCTGAACAACAACACAGAGTTCAGCGTTGCGACGACTTTCCTCAACGGAACAGATGGCACCGTGAGCGCCAAGAAAATCATCCTCGCAACCGGGCTTCACGACCTCATACCCGATACCCCGGGCCTGCTGGAGAACTGGGGCAAGGGCATCTTCTGGTGCCCGTGGTGCGACGGACACGAGCACGCAGACCAGTCCCTCGGTCTCCTGGGCCCGCTAGAGGACGCCGCGGGTCTAGTCCGCGAGATCTCGACGCTAAACTCGGACATCATCGCCTTCGTAAACGGCACCGACACCCCGGAAGCCCGCGCCGCCGCCGAGGCGAGCTTCCCCAACTGGGAGAAGTACCTGCAGATCCACAACGTGACCGTCGAGAACCGCACCATCGCGCGCATCAACCGCCTCCGCGACGGCGGCGACCCGCCCGCGGACCCCAGCCTCCCCACGGCCCCCGAGTACGACTTGTTCAGCGTGGACTTCGCCGAGGGCGGCGAGTCCGTCGAGCGAGCCGCCTTCTTCACCAGCTTCCCCGACGAGCAGCGCTCCGACGTCGGCGAGAAGCTCGGCGTCACGCTGTATGGCGGCCGCCTCTCCGCCGACAACACCAAGGGTCTGGCGACGAACGTCCCCGGCGTATACGCCATCGGCGACGCCAACTCGGACAACGTGACGAACGTGCCGCACGCGCTTTTCACCGGGAAACGAACTGCCGTCTACCTACACGGTGAGTGTTTTTCTTTTTTCTTCCCCGCCCCCCTATATAATATATTTCCATTACTGTTATTTTCTGAGCTTGTGATGGATGGATGGACCTGGTATGCTAATGGAAATAAATGTACAGTGCAACTTGCCCGCGAGGAGGCCGACAAGGAACTAGCAGGAAACGGAACGGCGGTGACTCGCCGCGAGGAAGAGCTTAACCTGCGGTCCGTCTGGGAACAGATGAACCCCCGGGATCTCCTTTACGCCGGAGAGTTTGACCAGTATTCAAGTAACTACCTAATGCTGTAATGTCATTTAGAGAGAGTGTATATCTGTAATCTGTCTTGGAAAGAGAAAAGGAAGTACACGGGGTGAGCATTATGTACAAGGGGATATGATAGCGTTGTATAGAATATATCATAATAACTTGCAGTCTTGGTCTCTGTTATGAAGATACCGTGGATTAACACTTAAAATCGTCTATAATAGGGGCTTAACTATTTCTACATTACGCTGGTTGAGGATTTCACAACGAACTGCTCGACAGATCTCGAGCCTAATGATCAAGCATGCTCTTCATTGCTTATAGTTACCATGTCGTCAGTCTCGCCTTTAGTCATACACACGTATCTCGCATTCATATTGCGTTCTCTTCACCTTCTCATATGTAGTCTCTCTCTCTCCATTAGGTACTTACATCAGGACCTAATCCCTAACCCAAACGCCTCGACCTCAAACCTCAAAAATCTCCCCAGCACCATACCCCCCGCCGCCTCTCCTAACATCCACAAGATCCAGCCTCCACCCTTCCCAGTTCTTCAACCCGCGCTTAAGTTCCCGAACCCGCTCGAGCCTCCTCTTCGCATCCTCCTGCTGCGCCTTTAGGAACGCTTCTTCGTCAAACTCCATGTCGGCGTCGTCATCAAGGAACCCTTCATTATCGGCCTTTTCATCAGCCGGAGTACCACCCGTTAAAGCATTGATACCGCTAGCGAGGAAATCGCCAATGCCCCTGTTCCCGGGCTTGCGTGCTGCACCCGGTCCGCCGAGGTCGATGTTCGTAAAACCCCCGCCGCCGGGACTTAATAGGGCAGGGTCATCGGGGCCGTGCTCCATCTCCTTGCGTCGCTGGTGCCAGATTCCGCGGCGCAGGTCGTAGACCTCGCTCTCGAGGTCGCGGATCTTCTTCTCCATGCGCTGGCGTTCCTCATCTTCCAGCTCATCGACTCCGTCATCGTCACCACCGCCTTCCGCAGCGTCCTTCTTACGCAGACGCGCATTTTCAGACTCTAGCTTCTCAATTTTAGCCTTAGCATCTTGCGCCTCCTTCTCCGCGCGCTCCTTTTCTTTACGTAGAGCTTGCGACCGGCTGTCGTTTTCTTTGTGCAGAGTGCCTAGAGCTGTGACCTTCTTCTCTAGCGCATCCACCTTCTTCTCAAGTTCTGCCTTTTCTCCCTTCAAGTCTTCGACTTCGTGCTCAAGACTACGCAGCTTTGTCTCCGCACTCGTGCGCTCGCTGCCTTCCTTTACGGCGCGCTCGGTTGTGCGTTCTAGATTCCGCTTGAGGTCGGCGAGCTCACGCTGCGCCTTCATAGCAGCCTGCTCGGACCGCGCCAGCTTCTCTTCAAGAGCTGTAATCTGTTCGCGATCGGTACCACCCGCGGAAGCTTGTCGCTCGGCTTGGGCGCGTAGGCGGGAGATCTCTAGCTCCATTGTTTCTATGGTGGAAGACTTCGAGGCTAGTTGTGCTTGTAGTTCCGCGGGGGAAGAGGACATGGATATAGAAGGCGACGAGCCATGGCGTTTCGAAGCGGCAGATTGGAGCTGCGAGTTCTGACGTTGGAGAGCGGCGATCTCTGATTTCTATAAGCACGATAAGTTAGCTGGCGATAGACGATATGAATATAAGGATATTTCCATACCAGCTTCTCGACTTGGCTGTCCGAACCATCGCGATCGGCTTCCCGCAGATCAGCAAGCTCTTCTTCGGCCTTCTGCCATCGCTTTTCCGCGTCGCCGGCCTCCTTCGCAAGCCTCTTATTCTCCTTCTCTAGGTCATCTATGCGCGCCACTTGCTTCCGATATATATCAGGCGCTGTCTCGCCTTCGGGGCTCAGTGGGAACCCGGTAGGTGATACCGTGCCTTGGCGGAAGGACGAAGAACGGAGTTTGGACTGGTGAGATAACGAGGTTGCACTGGATGTCGTAGGGGATCCTAGTGGCTCTGCAGGCGCATCTTCAACGGCCGGCTCGCCTACGGGTGCTGTTTCGGACTTCGATTCGGCGGTAGTAGGTTCTTCTTTGTCCTTTTCCTTGTCTTGTTGCTTTGCGGCCCCTCCTTTCTTGGCCATCTGCTTCTTCCTCTGCTCAAGCTGTGGAACTTTAGTATTAGTATCTAATTGGCTACCAAATGTGGTTCTACGTGAATGATATCAACTCATACCTTCTTCTTTGCCGCAGCAAGCTTCTCGGCCTTAGCCTTCTCCTCGTCAGCCATTTTGTCTAGGCTTTAAGTAGAGTTGTTCCAGGTGATTATAAGTTATTTTAATATTTGGTGATGAACGTCCTATAAATCAAACTGCTATAATAATATGTAATGTGTGTCCGGTGCAGTAAAAATTACGGGTTGAGCGACTGTTGACAATTCGATGTTTGACGGAGGTGCGGCTTAACGGGCTTAGGTGTTCAGAAGACGGCTAACCGCCCCGGACATGTCGAGCTTGTTTGCGATTGCGATTGCGATACGATAGCGCTAACAGGCCGTATTGCATGAGCCACACTACACCACATATGTGTACCTCCAAAACGGTACATCTTACCAAGTATTCCGTACCTAACCGTTTACCTACATGTTATACAAGTCTCTAGGATGAGACTGGGTAGCACGGCTTTAAGTGGGTTTTTTTAACCCAACATGGCTAGTAGGTAGCTTTGCATATAAGTTTATATGTTATAGTACTGAACATTAATGGAAAGATCAACTTTTCGACGATACTAGGTAACCAAAGTGGTGCTTATTCATCAAAATAAGATTCAAGAGTTCTATATTAAAAAGTATCAATGTTTAGTACCATAACATATAAATTTGTATGCAAAGCTACCTACTAGCCATACTGGGTTAAAAAACCCCACTTAGCGCCGTGCTACCCAGTCTCATCCTAGAGACTTATACGTCAGAAGGGAAACGCCGCAACCGAAATAAACATAAACTAGCAATTACCTCGTTACCATGACATTTATATATAAAATAACCCTTAACAACTCCCCGTTGAATCGTATACTGATTTGGAACAATTTATACCATTAATTTTCCATGTATAAGAGGTTATGCTTTAGCAAGATGACCCAATATCTGCCGCGTTCGAGACGGTTTGCTCCTCTTGCGGAGCTTGCGACCGACCAGCATCATGAGCTGCCCAAATTACACGGAGTGATATTCGATGTTGACGGGACTCTCTGGTGAGTTATCAATAAAGATTAACTTAGCACATGTATACACAATTTGTAAAATGAGAGCCAAGAGAAAGTACCTACATTTCAACTATGTCTATTGTCTATGAAGCTGGTTGGTATTGAGAACATTCGAACTCGAGACCCTTATATTTTCATATAAGAAAGTTTAGTACTATGAGACTCTCATGACTATTATGTCGCAAGAAACAGACTATCTTAAACTTATAAGTCAATATATACACCTTATGACCTTAGGTCAGGCCAGTTGAAAGAATATAATATCTCACAACAACACATAACTACACCCATCCCACCACCCCTATAAACGAGATCCCACTAACAACAGTCCAGCCTCCCCCAAAATCACATGTTCTCCGAAATGCGCGCCGCGCTGCAAATCCCCAAGCACATCGACATCCTAGAGCACATATACTCGCTGCCCACAGCCTCGCAGCAAGAATCCGCCATGGAAACCATCCGCGCCATCGAGCGGCGGACCATGACCGCGCAAGTCGCGCAGCCCGGACTAGCCGACCTGATGGCGTACCTCGACGCCAAGAACATCCGCAAGGGGATCTGCACGCGCAACTTCGAGACGCCCGTCTCGCATCTGCTGGGCAAGTTCTTGGCCGGCCACGTCTTCCACCCGGTCGTGACGCGCGACTTCCGCCCGCCGAAGCCGGACCCCGCGGGCCTGCTGTATATAGCGCGGAGCTGGGGACTGGTGAGGGCTGTGGAGGGGCCGGAGGACGAGGGGAACGTGAGAGCGGTGCTGGAGGATGAGAGTGCCGGTAGTAGTGCGCGGGAGAAGGAGGGTGCGGTGGTGCGTGACGGCGCGGAGTTGAGTGAGGTGGGTGATGCGTCGGGGTTGATTATGGTGGGCGACTCGATCGACGATATGACGGCTGGGCGACGCGCCGGTGCTGCTACGGTGTTACTTGTTAATGATGCGAATAGCCATCTGGCTGAACACGAACACACCGACTTGGTGATTGAACGGCTGGACGATTTGGTTCAAGTGCTGGACCACGGCTTCGTGGGCAGGGAAATACACCAGGGCCCCTAACTTGGGATTTGTGAAAGACGGCGTAGATAGCCTCAAATGTCGCAAGATGGTCTTGACTATAATATTCCAGTAAAGCATATTTCTGGAATATTATAGGTTAATAAACTCGACTTACTAGTCAACCGACCTCCCTTACAGTTGTTAACTTGTTACTTAATATCATGTGAGATGATTATGAAGCAAAAAAAAAATAAAAAATAAAAAATAAAAACGATTCATAATTACGTATCAAATATGTTGGTTAAATGTCATCAATCACGTATAACTCATAAGTCAAAACTGTCATTTTGAAATCTTGTCGCATTTGCACTAGTGGCCATACATTTCACTTAACAGAATCGCTAACTACACCGAGTAGTTGACGTTTTATAGCTTCCCCCTTCAAGATCGTTTCTTTTCGCCTTCGTATACCTCTCCCTAAAATGTCTGATATAGTCTCTTTCGCTAAAGAGCATGCTGTGAAACATGCCCGAGATATAATGTTCGATGCATGTGAGGGATCGTCGATGTCAACACACTCTTACGCTGGGCGGATGCGGACGCTCATGGCCATATTCTTCAGCGCTCCGAAATCGAACCACGGATGGCCTATATAGTGTTACAAGACGGTTATAATGGTAGATATGATACCGCTGGTTTTATCGCGATGAATATCCTGCGCTCCCATAGCTGCCGTTAGACGGAGGGATGAATGTTGCTTGCCGTCTATTCTCTTTCCGTAGCTCATCCGGAGTCTCTTTCCTCGGGGGAGGGGGTGGCAACGGTCCACCAGGCGGCGCAGGTCTAACCGGTAGTGTAAATGATGTTCCCATGCTGGCACTGGCCGGCTGCGATAGGTCTGCGGTTGTAATCTTCGGTATTGATCCAGACGTTGCGGCTCGTTGTCCCAATCCTGGATGCACAGCGGATCCGGAAGAGCGCCCAAGGCTTCCCACCCCATTTCTAGTAGGTGATCGGTTCTGCGAATGGCCGTGATCTCTCGGCGAAGCAATCGCGCCCACGATGGGAATCTCACCGGAAGTTGGTGTGTAAGCGGCGTTGCCGTCGTTCTGGAAAGTAGGCGACTCGCTTGATCGTAAGAGCTCCCGAGTAGCTGGAGAAAGTTGAGGTTGCAAATGAGATTTGCGGTTGTCTTTCTCCATAAGTCCGACAGCCCATGCTCTCAAATCCACCGGCGTCCGTTTAGCTGCTTGGACAAATGGATCTCGGTCCTATATAAGATTAGTATAGGCATTCGATATGTTTTGTTTGGAGTGTTGCTCACCCATAACTCTTGAGGTGTTGGTCGTTCATCTGGTATTTTCGACAAGCATTTTTGAACCATGTCTTCTAATATTGACGGGAACGCGTCGCTTTTAGGAAGTTTTGGAGCAGGCTCGTGAACAATTTGTTGGAGGAGATCCAAAATACCGGCGGGCGCTCCGTCGTCATCTGAAAGTTGTTCGCTCGCAAATGGAAATTTGCCAATAGCCAGCTCCATTATACTCAGGCCAAAACTCCATACGTCCGACTTGACCGTGTATTTCTCACCCTGGATTCGCTCTGGGGCCATGTAAGTCGAAGTGCCCACGAATGTATCAGCGATAGAGTTGACCAGTTCTCCTGATACTCCAAAATCACAGAGCTTGATGTGGCCTCGAGAATTTACGAGAATGTTAGAGGGCTTAATGTCTCGGTGCATAATGTGTAGTTTCGAGTATAGATAAGTTAAGCCACCTAGAGTCGCCTCCGCAATTTTACCAAGCACATCTACGCGGATCGGCCCAAAATGGCGCGAGACTCTGTCGAGAGATCTATAGTCGTCCGGTTAGGTCCATGCAACACTTTCAGACTAAATTTCTTTTTCTTTATCTTACTTACCCAACATCCATGTATTCCATACACATAATGACGTCGTTATGTTCGTTTAGGAAAGCGCCGTAGAAGGTGACGATATAATCGGAGTGGCAACCGTGCATGATTTGTAGCTCGCGCACAATGCGCTTCCTGAGCTCTTTCTTAGCTTCGACGTGAATTACCTAAAGTCGGCTACGATTAGTATCCGCATCCCAAAATAGATTATAGATTAACGAATATATTTACCTTTCGAGCCATCGTGGTTCCCGTAGGTAAATGCTTTACTTTACTGACGGTACCTCCATTTCCCGAACCAAGCTCTTTCACGATCTCAAGATCCTCTTGCCGAAGGTCCAAGTTAAACTCTATTCCAATCTCGAGCTGCGCTTCTTGGCCTACCTCCTCGGCTCTCGATCCGCCAAAGCCCCAGCCGGATTGATTGTCATTGTTCGAGGCCGCAGGTTGCTTCGGGGCGGCGGGGGTTAATGCTAAGCCTTTGACGTTCTTGCGCTTCATAGAGCGCGGGGCAAATGCGTCGGTCATGATGTATAAACCCGCGGGTACTCGGTGATGCTTAGGATTCGAGAAGCGAGAAGCGGGAACTTGCACGTTATGCAGGACCGGTTAAGAAGACGATTTCGAGCCGGCGCGGATCGCAAATGGGCAAGCTATTTGCATGTCCACTGGCAGACGCCCGGATGTTGGATTTAATTCGATTAATTTGATACTAATCCGCGTGCGTCGATGTATCGCGCGTATGTTCTGCCCCTCACGCGGACCCCGAAGAGATCGAAGTTGGGATTTGGGAATTGGATTAAGATGTGACGGAGAAACTCTCGTGTTTTTCAGGAGCAGCGACGGTGTCAGTTGTACGACCTTGTCTGCACTGCTGTGCAATGCACTGAGAAAGGGTCCTAGGGTACGTAGCCGCTCGAAGGCTGCTAACAAGTATTTCGAGTCAGCAAATTAAATGGTTCGGCGTTGTGGAAGGGGAAGTGTGCAGGAAGATGCAGCTGCGTAGGGGGAAGTACGAAGACGTATGTATGTAAGAGGTAGTAGGTAGGTAGGTAGGTAATAGCGGTGCAGCGGTAATAGATAGTGGTGGTATTATAGTGCTATCAAGTTAGGTACTTCGTAGTAGTGCTAGGATAACAGGATACTTCCTAGGTAAGTTCTAGTGGGACCTGGCCGACTTTACCGACCCTACCGAAATAAATTAAGTACTATCCGAAGTCCATACCTAATAGTACCTACTGAGGTATCTGATATCTAATAATACATGTACCTACTAAGGTAAGGTGATGTCGGCGTATAGTAGACCTGGTTTAGTCTTTTGTTGGGCACCGAGAAGGGGATATCCAAAAGTTGGGCGGTAGAGATTGTGAAGAGCGGAATCCACTTAGATAAAGTACGGCTGGTGACAATTTCCATAGGCCATGATGAAATAACTGCTAGAAATAAACCTATCAACTCAAATTATATATAATTCTTGAGTTTTCGGCACATCCAAGTAGGTGTGCGTCAAAGTGGAATCATTGTTGAGTGGAATGGATATGTCGGTGTATAGGTATGCATAGGAGGGAGCCCAATATGACGAGTATTTCTTGATATCATACGGAAGAACAAAGAAAGGATACTTACTTCGTTTTAGGTAGTTAGATGATTCCAAACTCGCAAGCCATAGAAACTAGTACGTTATGGTCCTGATAGACAACGACGAGATGAGATGAACTCCAATGTCTAACGCAAGTCTAGTTGTTAGTTGACACTTTCAGTGTATGCAGAAAAATCAATAAAAGTCCGTATACGGTTGAGACTTACCGAAAAACAGAGCTGATTGGTCTTTAGCTATAACCGCATATGGAGGAGAAAAGCTGCAGGTAATATTGAAAACCGTCTTGGGCGATCACCAGAGAAGACGAGTCACGAAAGTAGGAGTCGAGCTAGTATAAGTGTCTTGAGTGGACGGACTTTAGAAGCGTTATGTGTTTGTGTTTAGCACAAAGGGGTAGGGGGGGCACCACAACGGATCAATCATGCTATGTAGGGGATTTTGATATTTGAAACTACATCGTCATGCTTGGTTCAAAGCGTCTACAGATGTAATATAAGTGGAAGACTGCGAGAGGGAGAAGTGGTTCTTGTTGAAGTTGATTATGGTTAGAGGCGTTTATTTCCACTAATAAAGAGCTTTAACGTACCTAGGTAGATGTTACCTAACCGTTCAGCTGCGAACGGTACAAGCACCAAGTATCGAATACCTAGAATAAGGGGTTAGCGGGGACCGCGGGGCTCGACCTCGCCAGCTTGCTCAAATATACTACATTGTAAGGATGTATTGTACCCAATAATACCTGATGGCATCATGTACGACCAAACCACCTGCAGCAAGCGGCCACATGCATCCTATTCTACCCACATTATATATAAAGGTGCCTAATCTACGTACATGAAATGCCATAAGAGGTAGTCATAAGTAGCATTGATGATGGATTTATTCAACAAAATGGGAATCATCTTATGGAGTGCGTTCCTAAAATCGATAGCTCAAGCTGCGGATGTAATATAATTAATGACCTGTATGATATGTGGTTTAGAACTGGTTTAGAACAGCTCTTACATAGTCAGCCGTAAAGCCTGACCTACTGCCTAATATAGTCTAAACCTCACACCCAGAAAACTCTTGCCACCCCCTTTTTTTCATTTAGTATATCTTTACATATCAGCATACCTACACTATAGCATGTTACGATCAAAATATGTATGTTCACTTAAAAAAGTCCCCCCTCCACTCGTATCCTTCTCATCTACTCCATACACGCGATTTTGGGGGCTAATGCATCCTCTTAGCCTGGCACATGTCCATCTACATACCCCCTGACAGCTCCAGATTCGGCTATGGCCCCTACTCGTTAGGTGTCACGGTCTGCACGGTCTCGACGATTTTGGTGCAATGTATCGAACGACAATCGTGATTGGACAGCTCGCCCTCAATCGACACCATGGTCACTTGGCTTGATCAGCCAGAGCCATAAAACACATCTCTGCAGAATATCTCGATCTAAAAGCGCCTAGTTATTTATTTTTGCAGCACTTATGTTTTACGTACAGCTTCCTTGTGTCTCCGAGATATCGTATAGCGAGCAAGTGACATGAGCTCAGATTTTAATAGGTGAAGATGTCGGTCAGCTTGGTAGTTTTAAGCAGCGCCTCTTTTACGCACTCGTGCACTACATAGAGGTAGGTGGGTAGGTAGGTATCATATGTTTATGGTCAAGCCCTTTTTACTATGATGTATGCTTTAAATAAGGTACCTTAATGTCATAAGCCCCGTGGGCAGCATAGTATAGATACCTCTTCTAGAAGAGCATCTCTTATCGAGGGTGAGTCTCAGTTGGGTATCATTATACGCAGGGTACTTAGGTACTTAGGTCTATAAATGTTAGATCTTATCGA